GCGTCCTGCGGTGGCTAAATCCGTTTTTGAAAAGGGTTTGCCCAAATCGATTTCGGTGACGCTCCGCTCAGCTCTGCCCAACCGACCATAATTGACTTTCGCACCTGTTTTCCAGGGGCTCCTTTTCTCTCTCTCCTCTCCAGAAACCCATTCAACCGCAGAAAGTCGGCCTGAAAAATCGGGGGCTATGGGGATTACGGTGGGGCAAAAGTGCGGTGGCACGTGCTACCAGTTTTGTGGCTTAGACTGGGAGCCAGAACAATGCCCCACAGCTGCCACTCCTAAACGGTCTTTGACCATCAAGCCAACCATCGCACACGCGTGCCAGTCGCCATAAACTTCAGAGGGTTAAGACGCTGGTTCCAGAAAAAATTGAAATGCATTGCATTCAGTCAGCGGAAGGAGGGAAGTAAAGTCCAGAAACCAGATTAACATGTCCGATTGCCACATCCGAGGTCTCTTTTGTACTTGCTCCGATTCCGAATCCGATTCCGGTGGCTGATATCTCTCTTAGTCTCAGAGTTCTCAACGCCACTCGGAAGACGGAAACTAGAACTTCATGGCGATTCAAGTACCACGATAACGGTACGAGGGCAAGGGGTTCACTCGGAATTGGGTTTACGACACTTTTTGTTTAGCCCCGCCAATGGTGATAATAATCATAAAATTATTTTATTGCAAAGGCAGTTTCAGGCCTCACTTTTGGCATTTAACTAATAACTGGGAGGAAGGAAGCTGAGGGTGAGGACAGCTGGGGGTCGCAATCATTGAATTATGAATGAAATATCTCTAAGGAGCAGGACAGCTGGAATAGTGACTCATAAAATATAGTGGGGATAAATTGAGTTAGGGATATGCTAATATATCCATGACTACTTTCAAAATAATAATTTTAAAAGCTTTTGTGACTAGTGCATTAATTTATAAGGAAATCCTTCTAGCACCAAGAAATAAGAAAGAAATAAATAAAAAATAAATAAATAAATAAAAAAAAGCTTACATTTAATAGAATCTTCCCCAAAATCTCTCCCTCATAATATATAGTGGAGATCATAATTGTGTTAAGGATATGCTTATATTTCCACGACTATTTTGAAAAAGAATAATTTTAAAAGCTTACATTTAACATAATGTCCCTGAAATTAAAAGGTTAAACCCTTAAACCAACTGCTAATTGGATACTTAACCCTCTGACTCCTATAGGACATTATTATCCTAATGCCCAGAAAAACCAGATCCCCAGACAGACAAATGGGGTTGGCTGAAGCACTGCAAGATTTATAAGCGTGTTACCTGCTGAGTCGGCGGGCCCATAACAATATGTCTAAATTAAATCCTTTAAGATCAAATAACCAAAGCAGGAACCATTTCGCATGTGAAACATTTCAACGCGTATTTCATTTAAATTACCCCAAATTTATCCCCGAAAAACGAGACGAGAGCTACAAATATTCAGAGAGTGTGTGTGTGTGAGGCCAAAGGGAAAGCCATAGCTGAAAGGGTTCTCCTGGGAGTTTGGCACGCGGAATTGCGCCTTGGAGTCGCATAAGGACGAGGAGCAGAACCCAGAACTATGCACATGGGAGCCACCAAAAAAAAGAAAGTAGAGAGAAAGCCAAGGAGCCGTGTGTCCGTGTGGGTGGGTGGTAAAAACGCGATACACAAACGTTCCGCTGCTTGTATTTTTGCATCGTAAAGCGAAATGAAAACGTCTTTCGCGGAAAGTTTTTTCTTTTTCCAGTGCGATGGGTCCGAAAAAAACTTGGCGAAAGGCGAACGAACCAACGAACCGCCAAAGGCACATAAATCAGGTGGCAATGGCAGCAACTTGGGCGTGTCATAACTTCGGAGCCAGAAACCCAGTTGGCCCTGGCCCGTGGGATCGAAAACAATGAGGATGGAGCCGGTGAAAGTTGGCGGTAAAAATTGCCAAGAGTCTTGGCCAATGCGCCTATGGTGAATAGCCGTTCCTCAGGCGGTTGGGGGAATGTCCTGCAACTGACACTGCAGTCCGAGTTTTGCCACCAGTATGCAGGACCAACTTTTTTCCGCCTTGTTTCCGCTTGTTTAGCGGCGGTGTCAGGGCGGTTTTACACCTGAGATTGCGATTACTTTGTCCGGACAGCCAGGCAAGTTGGGTTAAAGTTTTTTGCAATCCTTATACCCTAAGGCGTGTGGGTGCCTGGATTTTCTTGGTTGGTTGGGGTTATGAAATAACCACGAAATATTTCAGAAGAAACCATTTATTTATTGAAGCAATCTTTGGGATCTGGCTAGTCTAAAATCTGGTGGTAGATAGAGACATTAGGAATTTCATATTTTATTATATTACTTTATTGTTCCATAATAAAATAATTTTAACCATTCAGAACTTTGTAATTTGAAGTTTGGTTGGTACAGCAAGTTGTATTTATGAAATGGTTATTGTTATAAAATTAATGGTAGATAGGGACAGTAGGAATTTCACATTTCTAATGTTATTAGACAAAGGAAGGTTAGAAAGAAATTGGTCTTTATAATAAAAAATATCTTAAAATATTTTCTAAAAAATAAGCTAGTTATCGATACATGGGGTCTCTAAGCATCTGTAAAGACATTCTAAGCACCAGTTTTTAAAACTGTGAAGTATCTAAATGATTCAAACGTAAAAAATGCTTTAGATTATTATGCCTATAAGATTTGCGATAAAAGTAATAAATCCCAAGAAGGTTTAAATTACCATTGAAGAGTGTGTAAATGTCACCGCCCCTTTGGTTTTCCAAGGCTCCACCCCTTGAGAGCCGCGTAAAGCAGTGAAAACTTTCTAATGAGTTGTCGGCGGGTTTTTGGAGCGCGTGTAAGGAACTTTAGTTGTGGACATTTCGCAGGTATTTTGTGTAATTAAAACGCATTAGATTTGTACTTAGGATAGCCCGCTGACCCAGTTAGTGAGGGCGGTGCCTTAAAGAGCCGGAGAGTTCTCTACGTGATGATCGGCGTTGATCCGTGGTACTCATTTGGTACTACTCTTCCAAGTGCCACACACAAAGTGCGGATGGAAGCGGTTCATTAACCGTGGATGTGAACTAACCAGTTTTCCCCAAAAAGACACACACAGCACAGCACAGAGATTTCTATCTCCGCGAGCGGTGCGTAAAGCAATTTGCGCTGATGATGAGACGACTTCTTGGGAAAGCAACACAGTAACGGTTCAAGTGCTGTGAGAATTCGCCACTTTAAGCAATCCCCAAGATACACGACCCAAAAGAAACTGCCATCCCAAGCTCCAAGCTCCAAAAACCTTTGACCAGGGCAATTATTTATGGCCCCGAGACGCGCGGAAGGGGTTAACGTTGGCTCTTTGTGTGTTTGTCTTGTAAGACAAATGTGTAATTAATTGCGTCGCATCAAAAGGAAGCTCTAAAACTATTTGCATACGAGCGTGGTAAATTGTCTTCGTTGTCACATCTTGAACTACACGTGCAATTAATAAATCAAAAGGGACAGCCAAAGTCCTTTAGTCCTTGGTCCTTCCGAGCGGAAATCTCGAAAGCCGGGCCAAGACAAACAAATGAAGTGACTGGCACCGGAAAAACTTTGCCAACTTGAGATCCTTTCTTTCTCCTTTTTTTCCCTGTCAAGGAGTGAGGGTTCCACTGCAACTAATTGCATTTCATTGCATACATTTAGGCTGCCACGAATCCTTTTGGCCTCTCCTCATCTCGGTTGCAGCCGCAATCACATCGCACACACAACGTAAAACGTTTCAAAATTGTGCTCAAATAGCCAGAGAGATTTTCTTGGAGTAGCCAAATGGGTTGAGGTGAAAAGCCAACCACAAGTGCCTCGAGTCGTTTGTGGAGTAGGGAAGGGAGGGGAAGGGAAAGGAATGGAGAGCTAAGGATGCCAGGAAGGATGCGCTGGGCAAGTGTTGAGTGCTAGCTATAATTGCACTGTAAGAAATGCACATAGAATTGGGGATAGTTTGACTTTCAAGGAACTATAACAGCACTTGATGAAGTGTTTTCTATACTGTGCGTTTTAACAGAACGGTGGCAGTGCAGCGGCAGAGAAAATGTTAATCCTTAAGGTGCCTTGATCTCTTCCACTTTGTGATTTAAGTACAAACTAATTTAAAATTCTAAAAAAATGTATGTATATTATTTTAAAAACTGTAGTCTTTTAGGACGAGTTTTAATTAATCAATTTTTGTATTATTTTATTACTTAATTTTAAAAACTATTTTCTTCAAGTGCATTCAAAAGGAAAACACAGACAAGTTAGCAGCCGGGCAAATTTAGCCCCGCAGTCGGGGGCAAGTAGTCGAGTCAAGTGAAGTCTGAGTTGTGTGCATGAATGGATGAATGAAAGGGGGCGGCAAATGGGCAGCCCGTTCAGGATGCTGCCCCTGGCAAGGACGTTGTTGTTCGGGGGGGAGGGAAAGGGGGGCAAAAACAAAAAGCACAAGAAGAAAGTTGTGAAAAAATAGCAGTCCGGGGAAGTGAGACAGCCGTCGCCACACAGACAAAACGAAACAAATAACACAGAAAAAGCATTCGAAATGGCACTAGAGAGAAATGTGGCCAAGATGAGGTGGGGTTTGGGATGAGGAGAGGTCATGTCGTGGCCGTAGCTCATGATGCTGCTGCTAGGAGGAATTCTCCATTTGCTGGCATCTCTGTCTGTCTCGCAGCCTCTTCGACAGCTCGTAAATGGCAGCCAGGATATGTGAAAGTGATGGAGGGAGGGGGTCTCTGTAGGAGTAGGTGGTCGGGTCGGTTCGGGACTTCTGCTGGTTGGTGTTGATTGCTGTTTGGGGTTTTTAAAACGTAGTTAGGCTGCCCGGCAGCCACAGGACCGCAGCATATGGAAACGACACCCGCGGCACAGGTGTAGAGCACCCTGGAGTGCCATCTCCGGCAGCCAGGATAACACCCCCAACGGCAATTTCAATGGTTATGGCTCCAGCACGCATGCTGTGTGTGTATTGTGGGGTCTAGAAAAGTGTATGTGCGACATACCTGAGTAGAAGCTGTCCAGGCTCTGCAGCTCCTCATCGTCGTAGTCCTCGTCCCCGCTGAGACTGAGTAGCTCCTCGTCCAGTTCCAAGTCCTCCGGCTCCTCCGGTTCCTCCTCCGCATTCTCGGCATATTGGTGGCCTGCAGTTAGAGAAAAGAAAAGCTTATTTTAGCCTGGATTGCAAATGCAGCTGGGGACTTGACCTCGACGTCTTGGATGGAAATGGCTTGGTGGCCAAGGGCTAAAAGAGCGCAGGGCAGGATGCCCTTTCCGGATCCCCAAGTGCAAGGAATTTTGATTATGCTAAGCCCCAGGGTGCCATAATTCCATACCCCCAGCAAGTAAGCCCCCATCCCCCTCTCGAAATCCCTAAATTAAGAGCAGAGAAGAGCGAAATCTCAAACTGCGCATGTTCCATTTAAGAGTTTAATAACCAGAAAAGAGAGATTACTGACTGAAAGAGAGCTCCTTGTTTTGGTCTCTCATTTCGAAGGAACAGCTGTTGCCAGCACGTGCTGCGAATCTTGGGGTAGCAGGGGGTTAATTGGGGAGCAAGGGGTGTCTGAAAGTTTGTCTACAGTGCCGCACAACTTGGCGTTACTCATACGCAACGTTTGACGTGGGTGGCTTGGGCGCTGAATGTCTCACGTGAGTGGATGTCTGACTTGGGCTTCTTGGGCAAGTAAACCAAGAAGCGGCTCCTCAGGGATATGCTAATGGGGTTGCCTTACCTGAAGGACAGTGGGAATAGTATATTGGTAAATATGCAGAAGAGATAGATGAAATGTCACGGCATTAATTGAAAGTTAATTAAAGTTGTTGTAGATAGGGACATTAGGAAAAAAGATAAATATTATATGAAATATTACGAAAGTTTTTGGTATGCCAGAACCTCTAGCGAAAATTAGTTTTCACCTTTCTAGTTCCAATATTTCTCACTTTTAACTTCAACCGTCATAAAACCCCAAACAGTGGCGAAGCCCTTCGACATGAACTCATCAGGCCATCGACCATCAGGCTTTCACTACTCCAACTACTTTCGCGTTTTTGGCTTTTACTAGTTTCTAATGACAAAATGAAATTTCGTGGGTAGTGGTTGCACTAGTGCTGGATACAAAAAAACTGTGTGAGATAGAGGGAGAAGCTTTGGCGAGGCGACGGGTCCTGCAACATTCTAAGCGCTTGAGAATTTCCTTGATGGCTCGTCGTTTTCGGCGACGTTTCGATGATGTGGTTCCTGTGGCTGTGGATCTGCTTTTATGCCACTTTGCATGCCAGCACATAAAGCACACAGAATGTGTGAGAGGACAGTTGGGGGAAAAGGGGGTGGGAGTGAGGATGGGGGTTTCAGGACTCTAAGCCAGCAGTGAAGCTGGGCTGGACCACCACACGTCCAATAATCCTTGTCCTGCAGCTTGGGAATACTTCATCAGCGGAAACAAAATTTTACGAAATTCTCTCTGCTCGCATGTATTTGTGTTTGTGTGTGTTGCACGTGCTGGCTGACTGGCTCCATCTGGCGGACGGACCCTGGACCCAGCAACAGCCCGGGACAAGTTTTTAACATGCCAAAAACGCATCTCGCGCCTGGTCGATTTCTCCTCGGCAACCTATGCAACGTCCACTGAGAGAATATCTTACCAAGTTGCGAAGCAAGGTCTTGGATTGAGATTAACAATAAAGCTCAAGGTTTCAATAAGGAAAATCTACTTCTAAGCTTTAGGTCAATAAATAAAATGATAGCTAATCTCAAAAAAAGTTTCTGTCAAGTTAGGAATAGAAACGGAAAATATTATAAATTATAAATATTTGGACTTAAAGTTTTGAATTTGGAAGTTTTTGAATGAGCAGATAACGGAGATTAAACGAAATAGGTCTGTGATCTAATTAAAAAATAAATAGTTTTTTTGGAAACTATGTTCTTGACTTACAGCCATTTTGACAAAAATTTGTAACTAAATAAAAGACGATTTTAAACATTTTACCTTGGGATATTTTAACACTTTTTCTGAGGTATAATTGATCTTTGATCTTCTTTTTTTTAGAGTGTACATGTAGAAATGACGACGACTTTGACACGACTCCCGCCCCCTGACTTCCATTCCCACTTTTCCTTTTCCCTGTGTATCTCCGTCTCTCTGATGATGCCTGATGATTATTCAACATTCGCTCTGTGGGGAGTCATATGGGCCACGCCCCCGCCTTTTACTGCCCACATGCATCTCCGGTCGCAGTGCTCTGCTTTTTCGACTTCGTATGACGCAAAATTGGCTTTCGACGAATTGTTGCTTTGAGTTTTGCAAATTTTTCGACACTACTGCTGGAGGGGTGGGGGTGGGCGTCGGTTTGGCAGGGGGCGTGGCTGCAGGGAGATCGCAAAAAGAGGAGACGAGAAGGTTTCTGCAATGCATTCATCATCATCATCAGCCATCGAATGGCGCTGCCTGGCTAATTTTATGACTCTCTCGCATCTTTCGCGAATTATGTTAATGAACCAGCTATCCATGTGTGTGTGTGTGTGCTGCCAGGATATTTCCAGGACATGTGTGTGAGTGTTTCTGTGGCGACCATAAATCGAACGAAATTTGCATATCCGAATAGCGCCATCTTGTGGCCATTTTTACGACTTTCGGGGCTTTGTGGTGCAGCTGCTGATTATTGTGAAGTTGTTTCGGTCCCGCCCACCCACTCTGCCCCTCCCCCCCACACACACATGCACAGTGGCACTTTGGGAACGCTGCAGGCCGCTGCAAGCTGCACTCGCTCAGATTTCCCAAAGCGCCGCCGCCTACGAGAACTACAGCAACAACGGCAACGAAATGAGCGGACAAAGTCCAGAAGAGTACTATCCTATCAGGGGCGTTGTTCGTGGATTTCCCCTGGGAGGGGGCGCTTAAATCGTATTATGATATTACCAACCGATGTGGTCTGCAGTCTTTGATACAGTGACTTAAAAATATAATAATTATAATTTTGATTGATTTAATGATTTTTTTATCCAAAAACTAAAGAGTAACATGTAAAACTCTTTTCGACAAGGTCAAATTTACCAGGCCCCATATCAAATTAAAATTAATCTTAAATAATGTAAAATCAAGTTATAAAATGTGACTTACTGCCGATTTTACTGTCTTAACTCTTTATAAATCTACCTGCGACTTTCATATCAAATTGTAATTTTCAGTAATCAAATCCAGCTTATGATTCCCAACTCTAGATTTATGTTCCTCTGCTAGCGCAAACAAATTTATTTGAGTGTGGTTACTTTATGGTATGCCCCCTCCCCGGGCAAACTCCCGCCACCTCTGTCAACAACAACAACATCGCCGTGGTGGGACAAAAGAATGGGACAAAGGGGAAAGGAGTACTGAGAATGGGAGATGGGAGTCCAACTCGGACTGCGCCAATCCCGTGGGAAAAAGACTGAAGCGGGCGCTCCGCTTCGCTCTGCTCTGCGCTGCTCCACAGCGAAGTGGGACCACCTACCGTGTGGTGGCTCTTAATTCGATTCGTTTGCTCCCTCCACTCCACTCCACACCGCTCTGAAGACCCCAATCCCCAACCTACCACCCACCACCCCCTTTTCCTTGGCAAAAGCCAGCGCTCCTTTGCCTTGGCTTCGTTGCCATCGTCGTCGCCGAATCTTTGGGGAATTGTTGCGCAAATGCTTATTGTGTGTTTCTGTTTGAAAATTATTGCAAAAAAGGCGAAATAATAAAGGCAGCCGTCGACGTGCATGTAATCGAACAGAGGTGGCGGTGGCGAGGGGTTTGTGGAAAGGGGGGTGGTAGAAGTACCTACGGGAAAGTGGGACTCGGATATGTCTCTGATGCAATTATGAAGTGATAAATGAATTATGTATGCACGGGGAATTGGCCCGAATTGGTCATGGTCATCGTCATCAACATTTCCATGTCTGCAATTTGTAAATTTATCGATCAGCAGACCGCAATCGATAATAAGTACAGTACTGCCTGTGCTTCCAAAGCAAAGCCAAGTTATGTCATCAAATTTAACGCTAACATCGTCTTTATTTGGGGAAATCTCCCACGAGTCTGTTAAGATGGGTTTGTTTACTGAGAAAAAATCATAATAATAGACTATTATCTTTATTATTTTAAAATGCTTTGAAAAGATGTATATATTACAGAATTCTAAAAATTCCCAAAAAATAAAATATAATCTTTTTTTTAATACTTAAATTAAATAGATATTCTTAATGGTGATATATAACCCACCTCATGCCAAAGACCTCATTATTTCGATATGTCACGTCTACAAATAATACTAAAATTCTCTATGATGATTATATTTCTGTGTGCACCTGATAATTTTATGGCCACCTTTTATATGTGTGCTATGAATTAGGGATAAGGAGCTAGTGGTGGTGGGAAAGAGTCAAAGCGACAGAGACGATAACTCACTTTTGTTTCATTTTTCAATACACAGTGGAATAATAATGGCAAAATGAGCAACTTCGCTATGCAACAAGAAGCTGTCTCCCTGTCTTCTGCTTCGGTCTCAAGATGCTCCCCAATGAACATACCAATAAACACGCTGGCAAAAGTTAGAAACACACACACAACACAGACACACACGAGTGAAAGTGGGACGGAGACACCTTGGATCCTTCTGGGAGCTGCTGGGCGTCCCCTCCCTTTGTTGTCTACTGTACTTCGTCTCGCCCCACTTATATGGCAATGTATAATTTTTATTCGCACCAAGGTTGCTCCCCATGGAAATGTCGTCGTCGAGGCTCCTTCTCTTCGGAGCGCCTCCCACTTTCGCCCACTTTCTCCCCTTGCAACCGCCGTCAACCGAAAATATTGCAACATAAAACTTTACACAAATATAATCTATAAGCAGCAGAATTCATATTAGAATCAAGAGGGTGATGGGGAGTGGGAACTTTATAGGGGACACACGTGTTTGAGTGTGTGTTTGGGTGGGAGTGCAAGGATGTGCGTGTGTCATTTTGGCGGGCGCACAGTGGTTTGGGCATATGTCAAAAAGTTGTGGCATAAGTGGAAGATTAATTAGGGCAAAAAACAAGCGTTCTTGAATAAGCAATTTGTTAAGAAAGACAAGGATGAGGCATGAACCATAAAGGACCAACGCTTAGAGTATTAACAAGAAGAATGAATAAAAAAATAAAAAATAAAAACAAATAAAAATATAAAAAAAAAAAAAAAAAAATTAAAAAAAATAAATATATTTTTATGGTGAAAAATAAAGTTATCAGAGATTTTTTAATGGGTATTGAGTAGTTTTTCTCAATCATTAAGCCACCTTTCAGCCCCACTGTTTTGGAGTACCCTCTAGTTGGGCCACCATGGTGCTGGTGATGCGCACAAAAGGGCCAATTCATTCTCGCCGGGTTTCTCGTTGGCAGTCAGCGACGTCGCTGGAGCACAAGAGCACCAGCAACAGCATCACGGAGCAGAAAGACAATTTTCGGATCCCCAAACTTATCACAGCCTCTCGATTTCCCCTTAGAACATTATACAACCCACCTGAGGAGCAGGAAAAGCAGCAACAGCAGCAGTAAACGGACGCAGTGCAGCAGCGTGTACTTGTCATATAATATTCGCGTGCGAGCGAAAGGGACGGCCAATGCAGGCGCGCTGTGGTGATAAAGTTTGGTCCTCCGTAGTGCCGTTAGTCCCGGAGAGTTCGCAGTGAGGTTAAAGCCTCGCACACACACCAAACAGTAGAGCACACACACACAGAAAGGGAGGCTGGAGCTCCCAGGTAGCCGGCAACAATAATCCAGGGCACCCAGACCTTCCGAATGGCATTGGCATGCCAAATACAGTCCAACTTTAATAACTCGAACGTGGTCAAATCGAAGTTTTAAGTTTAACTTAAAACCAGTTGTAAAACATTTTGCAACCCTTTCTGGAAATCTAAAAAGTATGCAACTATTTCTTTTATAATAAGTTATCCATCTTTTTTAAATAGGTTTGTCAGAGTACAATATTTAATCGCAAACTTTTGGACCCAAAAAAAAAAAAAAAAATAAATACTAAGAGTATTATCAAAACTGAAGTACTAATATATTTAATTTAATATCCAAGCTATGTTTTAAACCATTTCATTATAAAGTCCCTGCAAATAAGGGTTCGATTTAGAGATGCTCGACTGTATAAATGGGGGGCGGCACTGGGCGCCCGACTAGGTTCTAGTTGATGATGATGTTCTCCATGCCGTCTTGACTCGCGGGAATTCGCCGCCCGGCCTGGCCAGAAACACACAGAAAAGAGCAACAAATAATGAACAGACACGTCTCTGGGTGTGTGAGTGTGCCCTGCGTATGAGCAGATACTACCCATACACAGGCAACGTGTGTTTACGTTCCATTTAAAACATGAAGCTTGTTTTATTATTGTCAGACAGCAGCGGCCATAACGGCCAGCCAGCGCTTTGGTCATTGGAATCGATGGCTTTACACCCAAGTGCCATAATCCAATGACGCACAGGAATACCGAATACATGGGGCATACACATAGAGTCGCATATTGCTGTGGTGTGTGTGTGTGTGTGTATGGGGCCTCATGGAGACATCAAAGTTGATGTGACCAGGCAGCGGCTCCAATGGGGATAAGCCAGATATACAGGGTCTGTAAAGCATTGAACCTATCTTTGATATGTTGCATACTTTAAAGGAAGAATGGGGAAACGGTTTTAAAATATTTCAAAAAAAAAAGTTTTCAAAATTCGTTATCTTTCATAAACTCTCAGTTAAATAAAGCTAAGTATCGAAGGTAGGAATTAGTATTACAATTTCATACCTTCACTTTCAAATTGTTTAACTGTAAACTTATTTGCCAAGGGTTATTGGAACAAGAACTTAAAAATTATCGATATTTTCGATATTTTGACATTATCGATTCGATATTATTGATGTTTTGAAGGAAAAACACAAATAAAATATCTAGTAACAGCAAACAGTCGATATTTTTTCAAGCTCTAATTGGAACTCCCTCTTACCGTAATATAAATTCCCTATTATATCTGTACACCCCCAAAAAAACACCCTGTATGACTCTTTCAATGTGATTAACCTTATCAAATTTACAAGAGCATTCCACACTTTTAAACCGTCACCGTGAAGACACCAAAATAGACCGAAACCTGAGGACTCACGTGTCCAGTGGCCAGGGGAAGCCCAGAAGATGCGGATGTGTGCCTTAGATGGGTCAACTCCGACCACAACAAAAACCTAACATTTGCTATTTATGAGACTGTCGAGAGTTATTAGCCGGACATGTGAACGACCCGGGGGAAAAGCCCAAGACGACGGCGATGGACTTGAGGCAATGCTGGTTAGTTTACATACAGATATATATATCCGTGTGTTTGTACAGATATATATCTTTTGGCTAGAGGCAATAAAATATGCAAATTGAAGTCAAACTTACCAGAGGACTTGCAGTGTCCGTTGGCATTGGCAGCAGCAGTAGCATCAGATGCAACTACCTCATCCCGTGGGTGTTGTAGTTCTTCTGCTCCTTCTGCTGCTTCTTCTTTTGGCACTGCAGCTGGGGTCGCTGGCTCATCAGCTGTGGGCCAGCTTTGTTGCTGTGATTCATTGGGCTCGATCTGGGGCTGAAGCTCTCCTCCCTCGGGCGCCTCCTCATCGGCCAACTCCTCGTCCTCATCCTCATTATCCTCGTTGTCCTCGTCGCCGCTGAGCAGCTCCTCCTTGGGCTCCAGCAGCCCAGTGTTGTTCTCCTCATCCTCCTTCTCGCCAACTGTAAATAATGCGAGTAATATATATTGAGAAAAAAGGTTAATTATAGCTATTATATTTAAGAAGATCAAAAGATTTTGTGTTGAAATTTTTCTTTTCTTTCTTTCTTAAGATTTATTTCTATTAATGATTTGTTTTCCTATACAAATTGAAAACAAATTATTTTCCCTGTACCGCCATATAAATTAAAGCTAATCAATTGATAACACTTCGAACACTCGCACAAATTGCTAGCTGTCGGAAGTTGGCTCAGACATCGGGTGCTATGCCACCAGCTATACCGGCTCATGCAGATTATGCCAAAGCACTCCCCGGGCGGCCATCGGGCCAAAAATTCTATTTACACGCTCCGTGTTTTATTGTTCCCCTTACCTTGCCAATAGCTCAAAACTCAGACTCCTTGGATGGCTATTCCGGCAAAGCCGCCACCTGATCGATGGCCTCTGCCCGGGGCCTTGTGGGTGTCGTTTTATTCCCCTCTTTTCCCCGAAAAAAGAATAAACCGAGTGTTCTGCCTCAAAAGTAATTGCAAGGGTGCAACAACGGAAGGGGCAGATAGCAGAAAGCAGCTGGCAGAAGAACAACTCCGGAAAATGGAAATGTGTAACATGTGTAATTGCGCAATTAAATTGAATTTTTCATACATTTCTCCAACTGCCTGTGATGGCCGAGAGTGAGCAAGACAAATGTGGTCGGGTCTGAGGGATTCTTTTGGACTCTGGGCCAGCCAAAGGTGAGGAAATCATTTACCTTGGAGAATTTTGGAAAAATGTTTAAGTATAAATGTAATAACTTTTGAAGAAATACCCCCCAGATTATTTAAAATTTTTAAATGTTTTACCATGACACCAATATTTTCTAATAATATAATTATAATGTTAGTGATTTTTTAAATAAGTTTCAGTTTATAAGGTATCATATTTAATATCTTCTCTAAAACATTTTTTTTAAATGGTGAATGATTTTGGTGGACCAACACCTCAACTCACAGCTTCCGTTTCTCCAATTTTTTAGTCTGCGGAGAAAGAGGAATTTTTCGGAGTCTGGAGTCTGGAGGCAGCGCGTGACCATTTCGTATTGGTGACCGCGAGGAAGGTAAGGACTTAAAATATATGGCCGAAAGGACAAGCCGGAATCACACCGCAAGGAATCGCCATGGAAATGAACATTATGCATGGGTATGGTCACCATAATGGGTGGGGAAAAGGAAGGGGGGGTCTGCAAAAGGGAACAAGGCGATGGGGCAAGAACATTTGGTTATTATTTCCATATAAAGAAGCCGAATGCTGCAGCCACTTGGCGGTGGGTTTTGGGTGCTGAATGCAAAGTGGGTGGGGGATGGTGGGGGGCAAGGATGTGGGGCAACGGCAACTGTGTGCCGTTTGCGGCGGAAGTGCCGCGTATTTTAAAATAAATGCGCGTGGCGGCAGCGGAGGGGCGGTGGGGAAATAAAGCGAACAGGGTGAGAACCAGTTATGGTCGTTAAAATTGTCGAAGCACCGCAACAACAACACAAGCAGCCAGTCAAGTTCTTTTTGTGCAAGCCAAAAAGGATGTAGATTGCACTGTACAAAATTAATCAAAGAAAATTAAGTTAGGAATATTGGGAAGATGATAAAAATTGGAATTTAATTTTATAAATTTGTTGATTTGTTTGATTTTTTTTGTAGATTTTAAAATACAAATTAAAGAGTTCGGTGATTCTTTGGAGTTTTATTCGTGTATAATTATTTTGTAACTCTTTATATTTTGCAAAAATAAATTTTATAATTTAAAACTTATAAAGTTTATTGGCCCATTTAATTCTCTGAAATTTTCATTAAAATAAAAAGTTAAATATTTCTCTTTGTGCACGTATGTGTGAGCATTGAGCACGCTGCTGTGTGTGTGTAAGCGCCCATATGTATGCAAGCGATTTTCATTTTTGTTTAAAGCCCCCCAGAGTGCATTTCGCACTCGGTCGCTGGGTTGCCATCCCTCCCTCTCTCCTTCGCTTTCTCCACCCCTCTCTCCTTCTGTGACTGTGTGTGTGTGTGAGTGTTTGGGGGAATAAGTGGTATGTGTGTTGGGCTGGGGCACAAGTGCCCGCATGTGTGAGTGTTTCTTACTTGTTTTTCGGCAATGGCATGTTTTTAAGCGTTTTACTCAAACATCCACGCCCCCACCACTACCAACGAAAAAGGTGCACACTCACACAGATACAGAGACAGAGTCACACACATACACATACACTTATTTGTAAACGTAATAATAAGCGTCGTCCCCTTTGACCCATCAATCCGTTGCCACTGCCATCGCCTCCTCCCTTTTCCGCATCGGAATTTCCCTTTTTCCCGCCAAATACCCCAACGCTTGCCACTTTTCCAGCTCCCAAACGGCTACTAAGCGTGTGTAGAGGGCACCAGCGAGAGCAGCTGGGGAGGCATTGGGGGGTGGGCTAGTGGGTGGCATGGTGGGTGGTGGTTGGCCAAAACAAAGCGCGCTTGCAACTTTTATAATGGCTCGAATGTGTGTATGTATGTGTGTGGTATTAAAAAAATAATGAAATAACAAACCCGAAGGTGTTGTTAAAAGCGCCAACAATAAATTTTATCAATAGTTGCAGGAACAAGAGATAAATGTCAGAAGCTGCCACCCGAGAAAACATGGCCAAAGAGATCGCTGGGCATTTGTTGAAAACCCAGTTCACATAATCACTAAAGGTGGTCGACTTCAGCATAGAATAGTGTTGGGAATTATGGGTTAATTTTTTATAGCAAATTTGAAATTTTTATTATATTTATTATATTTATTGATTGTATTGAATCAGTGCCAGGAAATTTCCATTCTGCAATTAATTTTCATACTTATATTATACTCTGCTGAATTGACCTCATTGTTTTAATAGAAAATGGGTGGAATCCAATAGAAGAAATACAAAAATGAAAATATTAATCCATAATTCTATTGGTTAGCTAAACAAAAATCTCTGGTCATTTTAAATCATTTATCAGGATTAACGATGCATTTCTTAAACTTATTGGAAGATCATTTTCAATCTCTAATATAACATCTCTTAGATAATTTATATGATATATACTTTGATTTCTTTAGCTTTGGGTTTTAAAATTTATATTTATATATATATTATATTTATGTATATTTTAAAAACAATTAATTTAAAAACTTTTTTGAATTCCAATCGTTAAAGATTTTCCTTTTACACATCTCTTTTTATGAACTAATTAAATTTCATCTTGAATAAACTGATTTATTAATGTATCACCCCTTTTTGTTGTGTTAACTTTTACTACTGCCACTTTAGCACCCCCTTCCCGTAAACTCAAATCTTTAAGGTAAAACTAAACTACTGCTGCTCATGTGTGAGTGTTGTGGAATCCACAGAGCTGTCAAAATGCCACCACCGCTGATGTCGTTTGCAGTGTTTTTGCCTCCCGGCGAATCCCCAAGACGCCTTACGACCCTCGCAACACCCCAAACCAAACCACCCACCCCCCTCCGAACCACCCACTCATTGCCATCGCCCACAGCAAATTCTATTTACCAAACTAGTTACCGTTAGACGCAGCCAATATCCCACATTATGTGCCACCAGAAGCAGAAGCCATTGCACATGGTAGCCTATGCCCACAGCGGATTCCCATCCCCATCCCCAAGCTCCTGGATCCTGAGATCCTTGTTGTTATTGCTATTTTTGGCGCGATTTTGCCGTGCAATGGCAAATATTTTGCCAATACACCAAGGACTCGCGCTCACGTTGACGATGAGGTGAAACGGAGGGGGAGGGTTAGGGGGCAGGAGGGGAATTGGGAATGGAACTGAACGGAAAAGGTTGGGAAAACGGGGTGGCGAAAGGAGCCAAAAGGCAACGACAACTTATGGCAGCTGGAATCCTAAGCCTTTCGCCTAGCTAAGGGAATTCCACACCAGGAGCCGGCATTTTAAAGCATTTTACGGCAGACAGTGTCTGCTAAAAATATTCATGCTAGAGGAAAGGTAAGGAGAGTTTCTCATGATTATACCAGTTAATCAATCGCAGGTCAACAAGCTGGAAAATATACCTATATTTAATATATAAAATCAATACTTTCTAAAGACCAAATATCAGCAATTTAGAGTTAATATGATGATAATTAAACCTACAAATGGAAAAAGTTTTTTTTTTAGAAGAAAAAAAAAGAATGGAAAACTTTAGAAAATTATTTGGAAAATAAATATATATTTTAAATTATAAACCAAAAACTATTTTTTAAAACATGATAATTAAAATGTCATATTAAATAATTATAATTTTTCTGATTCAAGTCTGATAACTTGCATAAATCACTGTATAATTTGTATAGGTGCCCAAATAGTTTGCCAAAAATCAGAGCGGAAAAAAATGTTTTATTTCTCAATTCGATATTTTTTGCGAAAGATGACAGGCCATTAGCCATTGTGTGTGTTGTTGTGGGTTGTCAATGAAAATATCTGATTGTGCCACCTATATGTTCGGTATATATACGTATGTTTATCGTATATGGCTATACCTAGGGATATATACTTATATACATGCAAACTGGCTGGCAACGCCGTCAACAAATGAAAACTCCCCAGGGAGTTGGCGCATGTTTGTTGCTGTTGCTGCCGTTGGATGTTGCTGTTGCTGTTGCCTCGTTGCCCGTCGCTTTTCTCCAGGGGATTGGCCAGAGAGCCGTTGCCGACTCCCCAGAGAAATACATGGCAATGGGTTTTCTGTGTTTTGTGCTTTTTTCTCGCGCCCCTCGCAAAACACAGTTGGTGCGAGAGAGACGGCGGGCAGTGGAAAAGAGCAAGCCAAAGTTCGCTTTTTTATACGTTGGGGAAATTTTCATGCCCCAGCATGAGAATATCTCTCTCTGTCTTTCTGTGTGTGTGTGTATGGATGTGTGTGTGTGCGCCAGTTGTCCTTGGGGGTTTTCAGATCCCCTCAGCTGCCCACCACCCACCTCATCTACCACCCATCGCCAACCCACTTGCACATGTGTGTGCATTGGATTTATTGTCAATTTTATTTGTTATCATTGTTGTTGTTGTTTTTGCTGTTGCTGCCGCTGCTGCTTCTCTGCTGTTATTTACACTGACACAATTTGGAATTGTATTAAAAATTAACGGCACTTTGGTTGCCTTGGCTTTTCCTGGCCGCAGAACGGTAAATGGAACCGAAAACGAAACCGAAGGCTGCACTGGAATCCCCATACAGATCACCTAAAAATATCCAAAACTGTAAACTACAAAACTGCGTTGGGGCCAAAACGCTTTTTATGCTCTTACAAAGAGGGTCCTTGAACGAAAAGCTATAACAGACTTTATCATATTTATTATTATATTCCTAAAATCAAAATATATGTCTTATTGATCAAAATCGGACGGGTTTAATGTAAGACAATTTTACTCAAAAAAAAAATGTAATAACAGCTTAAACCCTAAATTATTTCTCACTTTAAAAATAAAGTTAGAAATTTTTTTCAAAGTACATTACTTACACTAAAAAAATGTTCTCACACAAGTCTGGATTTAGTTTTATATCAACTTAGTTACAAGAATAGAATGAATTTAAAAATTAAATAACTGGGTTAACAAATTCCAAACATAAATAAATACCAAACTAAAACACCTAATAAAATAAAAAGTATATTTTATTAATTCGAAGAAAGCGTATACCCCATTCATCATGATGCACCCTTTGTTAACCATTTACTTGTTGGTTCACCAGAACACTCAATGTTTCAACCTCATGCTGGGTTTTGTTTGGGTTTCGGGGGTCTGGGTCTCCTGGCCCCAGATCACCTGCCCAGCTGGCCCTCTTGGCCCACCTGGCTATCCAACATGACCGCCCAACCAGGGGCTCCCTCATCCACTTTGCCCCCTTTCGGTCGCTCTCTCTATCACTGACAGTTAGGTGTGTTGATCCCGGGGGATTGGCCAATGCCTGCAAGCTGCTGGGCTGCAGCCGGTTTTTGGGTTCGGAATGGGATCGGTATGGGGAATGGGGTATATGGCTGAGAGTCGAGAGTCGAAATGGAGGGCTCCCCAAACTGGAGGGCAGTGGGCAATAGCCATCGCAGGCCGAGGCCATTTGCATTTGTCACATTTTGCGGTCCCGCGAGCAAAGTTTGGCAGAGTAATGTTGTGTCCACCCCCTTTTGGGGTTTATCAAAGCAAATCAATCAGATGCACACACATAAGCACAGGAAAACACACAGGGACACACAGGATATGGAAATGGAGACCATGTCAGTCGATGGTGGTCACCTGGGGATTTGAGTTCCTGACCACCGACTGCCCAACTTACGTTTGAGACAGGCGCGCGGTTTGGCCTGTTTGCGTCGGGACATGGCCAGTTTGGCTATTTAAATCACTGTTTCCGTTCAATTTCGTTACGACTTGATTTAATTTAATTTATTTCCGGCTTTCGTTTCGCGCCAAAGCGATTTGTTTTGGTTTGTGGTACTCAGCCAGCGAATCCTGGCAAGCGCTGCGAATATCCTTGTGCCTTGAGCGTCGGCAACTGACTGACTGCTTTGGCCCAAAAAAAGTGGCATCAAAACAGAAGCTCTTAAAACAAAATGGTATGTCCAAGGCGCAAACGCAAAGAGAGAGGAGAGCAAATGAGAGGAGAAGATGAGGTGGAAAAACAGCCACCCAAGCACAGAACTCCCGACCAGCCAAGTACACACAGTGAACCATCTATCAGTGCTGAACTTATTCCCCCGGGGGTTGCTTTCGGTTCCATCCCCTAGAGACCTCAAGACGGCACCAATCGCGAGCGATTCTGGGTGCCTTTCCAAAAGGGAACCCATGCCGACTGCTCACAGTATGCGATGAATTCCCATCCCCGCTCGCCTGTTGCAATTACAAAGTCAAGTCAATTATTTCATAGCCGACTTTCGCACGTGCGTATGGGGGGTCCAAAGGGCGAAGCGCGATCTCGAGGCGATTCAATTCGATTTGATTCTCCCAAGGTGCCGGGCGAATTGCAATTTCCACTTGGTTTCTCAGCAGCGGGATAACGACAACGCACCCGCCCAGCTCCTTGGTGGCCCGTGAGAATCGTGTCCAGAAGCCGGGACTTTCGTGCTTGGGCAGCGGGTGACGACATTGGCAATGGATCTTTTGTTAAGGGCTCCGCTCATCCACATTTCAAGAGTGCCACACGCATGGGTTACGAATGTTGAGAAAGTGAAATATTGTCGAAAGTAAATAATTTATTTAGGACGATTAAAAATATGATTTGAATTTCTGTTTAAACCAAATGCGTTGACTAACCTACCTTAATATTAACAAAAGTACTACATCCTGAAAAAAGTATAAAACTTTAATTAATTTTACTTTATAATTACTGAAATTTATTTGGGACTACATGGGTTTCTGAAGTTTATGTTAACCCAAATATTAAGGTTAGGGTTTTTGCAAGAATTTAGAGATTAACATGGCGGAATCGATATAAAGTTTAAATTATCTACTGATAACAACTTTAACACAATTGACAAAATTTTAAGGAAGATTATTTTGTCCGAACTTCAGCTACAAGTTTCAATTATTTTATTATACCCGTTACTCGTAGAGTAAAAGGGTATATTAGATTCGTGCAAAAGTATGTAACAGGTAGAAGGAAGCGTTTCCGACCCTATAAAGTATATATATTCTTGATCAGGATCACTAGCCGAGTCGATCTAGCCATGTCCGTCTGTCCGTCTGTCTGTCCGTCTGTCTGTCCATCTGTCTGTCCGTCTGTCCGTCTGTCTGTCTGTATGAACGCTGAGATCTCGGAAACTATAAAAGCTAGAAGACTGACATTTTGCATGCAGATTCTAGGAGTTCCTACGCAGCGCAAGTTTGTTTCAAAAGGGTGCCACGCCCCCTTTAACGCCCACAATCGTTTATATACGCTTTTAAAAATTTCAATATTTTGGAAAAGTAAAAATGCAGTTTTATTGTGTTTCTCAATACCTATCGAAATGTAGAAGAAATTTTTTTAATCGGACCATTCGTTAAAAAGTTACGGCAGATCAAAGTATCTCCATCTCCTTCGCTTCCCTTTAGCTGAGTAACGGGTATCTGATAGTCTGGGCACCCGACTATAGCGTTCTCTCTTGTTTTTGATTTTTATTAAGTTAATTAAGTTTATACATTTCTCAGCTGTGGTTTTTTGGAACCGCTTAAAAAATGATCCAACAAAAATTGTTAGCCATAAAAATAAATAAATAATAAATAAAAAATTTGAGCAGGCTCTCTTAAAATTTTTTGTCATAAATTAAGTACGATTTTTATAGTGTCCGTAGATAAAATGTAACTTATTAAAGGGACCTTTTTATTTTCTTTTTAGTGTAACTCAGATAATTTTACATTGATCAGCCAAATTAATGGCTATAAAACGTATAGTATTAAAGGGACCATTTCTTATGTAACGTACTGATTAATTTATAAATTTATTATAAATTTAAATTGATTTTAAAATGCATGCTTTACCCATAGATATACAAAGATAGTTTAGAATAGAATAAATATTAAAGTGTTTCAGCTGTTTCGGGTAAGTCTTCTGGCTTGTAACCGCAAACACATTAGTTATCCATTACCGACTTAACGGAATTGAAATCATGTCCTACAGGATGCGGACACTACCATTTCAAGCCAATGGGCGGCGCTTCTAACCATGACTAGCGCCATCTACACAAATTATTAGAAAATGCATGTTGCCAACTTTGGCCACATTTCCTAAGTGTCGCTGTTGTGGCACTTCAGTACAGTAAACTAGTTACGTATACGTTATCGTGAGGGTTTTGACTGAGAGCGTAACTGAAGGAAAGTAGTCACCCTTACGTATGTGTCTACGTAAAAACCGTTATTTAATTAAAATATATAGGACTGGGATTAGCATAGTCAAAGGTCATAAAATGTAAATTGAAATATATTAGTAATCAAATAAATTTTACTGAATTTGATTATTATCAAAATACTGATTTGTGTCGGAAAGTAAGTTATACGACTTTTCCCATATATTAAGAGGGTTTTCATTTGTAATTTAGTAAAATTAGGCCTCACATTTGAAGACTGACTATTTTAAGCTATGCTTACAATTTTAAATCCTTTCGGAAAAACCAATTTTTTTTCATTTTTGCAATCCCTAAGGGCTTGCATCACTTTCTTTGCAAAAAATTCAAATTTTGAGCTGTAAATGCTAATTGAGTTCAACGAGGTATGTTTTTTTTAAATTTTCTCTACTATCAACTACAAAGTACATAAAAATAAGCCTAATTGGTGAACAACAGAAATAGAAATACGAGTAGTCGATTATAAATAAAATTTCCAAATAATTCCTTTTCAAGATCAGTATTAAATCTAAAAACACTTCAAATAAAAGTGAACTTGGCTTATCCACCTTGTAATCCTAGAGATCTCATTCAACCACCTTGGTCACTTCCTCTCCCGCAGTCGGATGAACATGGAAATTTGCTACGCATATGGCGAGGAAATCGATCAAATCGAGGGTCCCAGTTCCGGATACACTTTTCGTTCGCCACGCTTTCCCCGCTCCTTGCCTCCCTCGCAACAGACCCATTCATATTTTCATTCATCAGGGGCCTCGTTTGCGATTGCGAGTCGCTTACTCCTTTGTTTACTATCGACGAAGATACGTAGTAAAAGTAGCGGCGAGCAGCGCCAGTTAACCCAGTGTCTGCAATCTGTGAAGAAGGTGCAAATCGGTCGAATCCGACGAAGAAGGTTCGGGCGAAGGAAAAAAGAAGAAACATCTGTCGCCACGAAAAAATCCGGTTGCAAGCTGCAACACCGGCTCAAAATGAGCTACAACACAGAGAACATATGATTGAGCTGCTCGAAACAAAAATGGGAAAAACAAAAAACCGAAACGCACCTTTTGTATTTTGGAGCAGCTGCCGTTGCTGTCGGTGTTTTGGAGGCGACTCATTGAGATCTTAGGATCGGAGGCTCGGGGAGTTGGGGGTCTTCAGACACTCGGGCAGCCTGTTGATGAGCCCACAATGCACACATGCTGCATGCTATAGATTTTTTATATATCGCTCTGCGTTGAGCCATAATAATAAGTTCCAGTCGAGGAAGCCGTCCACATTAAATTCGGTGTTTGTCGCTCAATGGCAGCTGCCACCAATTCCTCCGGGGGGCTTAAACCCAGTCAAAGAGCTGGAGAAGAGGTAACTTCAGAGCCAAAAGTTCAGATAGGTCAAGTCGTCAATAGGTTGTCAAAATATTTGGAGATTCACTCCATGCGCTTTTAAGATTTCATTCATGGTATTTCGAAGGCTGATTGAGGATAATATTTAGTGATTAAATTCAGAAAACAAATTTATAAATTTTTATTAACCTGGTTAAAGTAATAATCAACATTTTCATACGTTTATTCCTGCACCCCAATACCTTATTTCCTGGACAATTTTTCATAGCTGATTTGAAATGCCCTATCTGACCTTGCCTGTTGTTCTCGATTTCCTGCTCTAGAATTCGCACTAGTCATTCTGCCACTCAACATCCCTTTTGGCGCCCTTAAATGTGAGCATATGTTGTTTTGGTTGTTGCACCCTTTAAATGCCATTTCTCTCAGTGCAGGCGAGGTGGGATTGGTTTTAGGTGGAATTTTATACATTTTTTTTTTGCAACATCACCACACTATTTACTTGACCATTTGAAATAGTAACCAAGTATATCTCCAAAATGTTTCAATTTATTTAATGACAATTTTTGCTTGAAAAATATAAAAACTGAATAATAAATTTAAATATTAATCCAATTAATTTATTTCACTATCTAAAACGAATATTAAAATGTTCTTCCTTTACCAAAACAAAGTCCAAAAGACATATACATAACAATAATTTGATTTAAATAGATACAAAAATTTTAATGTTATTAAGATATAATAAATAAGTAAAAGACTTCGATATTTTAATTTTTGTTAAATACATTAAAATATTTATTTTAATAAGATATAATAAATATATAATAGATTTATATATTTTGTTTAAATATGTGTTCCTTCATCCTTATAGATATCCCTTTTTCGCTGGTCCGGCATCCCTTTACTCTCGCTCAGTTATTTTCCCAGATACGGCAGCCCGCGCATAAATTTTGAAAGTCAAGCCGAGAACAAGAGGACAAGCAAGGCTCATTCGAAATTTGTGCGTGCAACGCGAAGGACGTGCCGCTCCGTAGCTCGCTGTCCCGCTTCACTCTCTCTCACTCGCTCACTCACTCACTCGCGTGTGTCTGCCGCTTCGCATTTGTTGTTTGCCACTTTTTCGCGCCACCCCAGAAAAAATACGACTGTGTAAAGCAAAGACCGAATCGAAAATCGGCAAGTTTAGTGCGACCTTTGGTGACGTCAGAGGCTGAGAAAAATCGCCAGGATGTCTGCCAATAATCAGCAGCAGCAGGCGGATCCCTCGGCGGCCGTGGTCGCCCCCGCCGCCTCCTCGGAATACCTGAAACGCACCTGCCTCATCTGCGGCTGCCACACCAACCAGACGATCAATATCTACGAGCCGCGCTCCGGACCCAATATCGTCCAGCTAATCCAGGCGAAATTCAAGTTTCAGGTATGGATTTTTCCCAAGCAAAGCCCATCTTACAAATTGGGGCGGGGGTGTGGACACGAAAAAAAATCGATATTGGGGCAACTCGGCGGATGAGTCATGCAACGAAACAACGTCCTTCGGACAAAGTTTTCCCTGTGCGCTTGTATCTGTGTGTGTTTTTGGGTTAAAAGGGGATGAACTTCGTTGGGCGGAAAAATGGAGGGATTCTGGGGAAGGGGAGGTTGGTGCTTTTAGGCAGGTAAAGGTAGCACTCCCACAGCATCCCACTGGGAAAAAAAGGGGTTGCCTATGTAACTTTAAAGGAATTTTTAAAAATACTTATTTAGATTTTTTTTTGGCAACTATTTAAGAACTTTAAGAATTTTGTGCCAATTTGTCAATGGGTTAATTTTAATGGAATATTTATAAAAAAGTTTCTTATGCTAAATTCCAAAAAAAATAATATTCTCATATTGTCGAAATATTTTATTAAATTTTACAATTACATTTATCGTGTTCAAGCCTTCATAATTACCCAGGATATAATCCTTCATTTAAAAGTATACAAGTTGAAAGCCATTCAAGAGTCATTTCAACAGAATATTTCAAAAGTAAATAAATTTCTATTAAGATTCATTAACTAAAACTAATTTCCATTCTCCCTTTTTTAATATTCCCATATCCCTTTGCCCTTTGAACTGCATATCCTGCCTTCAAGCAGCTGATGCATTTCCCTAACTACTTTCGGTAATTGGACACTTTGCATATGTGTCGCCACTTAGTTCGATTCCTTTCCCATAATTTCCAACAGCTTGTTCTAATATGGTAAAGGATAGTGCGGTGTGTGTGGGAAATGCGACAGCGGAAGATGGCCAGGGAAATCGATCCTCGATGGAGATCCTGGGTTTATTTTTCTGTGGAAGTGAGTTTCGGGATCTCGGATTACAGAAACACTCCACTGCGATTGACTACCTGTAGTGTGTAGTACCACAAACCTGCTCGAAAAGGGCAGATGTGCGGTGGATTTGCCGAGGAGCCGAGATTGCTCCAATTTCTGCGGGCAGTGAACGAACCTTCCACACACACACCTCACTCTTCACCCTCTCTTTTTTCTCTTTTTTTCTCCATATCCCAAAACGACAGCTGTATTTGCCGCTCGGCACTCAAAATCCAAACCCATCAGGGTTCCTTGGTTTTCTGCTGCTGCTTTATCAGCTCTTCATACCTTCTTCAGGACTTGTGTGATATGTTTTTTTCGCATTTCAACTATTGAATACGAATACCTGGGTTCTGAGTTCACAGTTTTATTGTTCTCAAGGCGGAAGGATTTTCCTTAGAACGATCTACGGTGGTTGAACTCTCGAACAATGCCAAAAATCTTTTAGACAGAAATTCAGGTTTCTTAAGTTGCGCAAATCCAAACAAAAGATCTACCCTTAGAAAAAGGTATGGGATGTATTTCCAGTCTCCGAATTTTCCAGCAGAAGTCCTTGAAGTGCCGAAACAAAGCCCAAAACTAGAATTTACTTTAATTTGGAGGTCTTCTTTTAGTTTGTTTTTTTGGGGGTTAGTTTGTTCTAAGGTTTCCTTGCCATCGGATTAGAAAACAAAAATGGGTCAGGCAGATATTGTAAAGAGAGTTCCTAAAACGAAGCCTTATCGAAAAGTAAACAAATTGAAGTGGTTGTGAACAGACTTAGTAAAAATATTATCAATAAGCAGATGTATTCTCTATCAATTTCTGTTATTTGGAAACATTGTCCTCAACTTTAATTGCTCATGAAATAATCAATTTAATTACGTTACTCTTCAGCCGCACGCTATTTAATTTCATGATATTATATATATATTCGGTTTACCCCACCACAACTGACCCTCAAGCTCACCCTTAATAATCACTCCCCTGTGGATCGTTAGAACATACTTTGAACCGTTATTGCGAAACCCTATATGGAGGGTACATATATACCACCTGCCGCGATCGTAGCCTGGCAACCGATCACCCCCACAGAAATGACACCCTCGCAAGTTCTAAATAAAGTATAAAGCCCTCAATGACAGTGCCATAAAGTGCAGTTGCAATCAATTTAAAAGGCTGCCTCCCTCCCTCTTTTATGCACTGAGAAAAAATCAATGATTTGCCTTTAAAATAAAAAGTATATATTAGAAGTTGGTATACAGACTAAGAGATTTGACTTTAAATTTTATTAAATTTATCATTATATTGACTTAGAATGATGATAGAAAAAACCCCTACAGATTTTAATGTAATATTTTTTTGAATTTTTGTTTAGATAATCTTAAAATATATAAAAAATGTTCACATCATTAACGAAAATAATAAAATGTGGTATCCAAAAATATTCTGTAGATGGATAATATTCTTAAAATATAAATTCAATATTTTTAGAAATATTTTCAAGCTGATCCTAAGAATACATAAGAATTTCTCCCAGTGCCCCTCCGATCAGTGTGCGTGTGTGTGGCTTTCTGTCTGCTTTGCACCTGGCCTGCAATTTGCATTATTATACCGTTTACACATGGCCCTTGGAGCACACCTTTTCAGCGCCGAGGCAAAAGGTAAACAGGCAGCCACAATCGCTCCTGATCCTGGCCACCCTTCCCCTTCAACCGATCCTTATATGTAGGGTCCCTTTATCCACCACCTTTATCTAATTTCCCCGAGCAGCTGTCGCCTATACGCGTGCCTAATATCCGTCATAGTTGGGTCTTAACCCAGTTCTCTTTGGTTCCACTTGGTTTTCGAATAGGGCGCGTGGCCTTTGGCCAAAACGAGTTTCGAACCAACCGAATATCCCTTTTGACTGGTTTTCGTTCCTTTTGGAACCAAACTACCAGCTGCTGTCGGGCGCTTAGTTTTCGTTGGCAGGTGCACGAAATTATTGATACCCCCGGAATGTTGAGGTCTGCTGGGGTAATTAATATGCCCGGGTCGTCTGGCAGTTGTTTTTGGAATCGCTATGCTTTTTTTTTGCACCTTTGGTTCGATGCTCATTAGTGGTCGGGTCCCGAGAGCGATCACTAAGTGCATAGGCGTATCGTAATTTTCGAGATATTTATTATGTGGTTATGCTTGGCCTGAGAACACAGGACACGCAATGGAATTGGGGTCACATTTCCTTCTAACGGTGACCTTAACGGTGTCCTCGATATAATCAATATAATGATTGGTCTTGATAATTCATAAGGCTAGTGGGTAACCCACTTGGTTCTACAGCAGTCATTATAAAATTCAGTAGGTACTTAAAAGTAATAAACCGTTTGTATACCTAAATTTTACAATAATTTGATGTTGGGTGATGATAATAATTTTATAATATTAAACTGGGATGATATGAAATGTCCTCTAGGTCTGAAATCTATTTAAAGTTACATTTTTTTAGATTTAAAATACAAATATTTACATCTCAATTTTTAGATAGATAGATATTCTTATAATAATAAGCTGGGATGATATGAAACATCCTCTGGGTTGTAAAACTATTTAAATACATTTACGAAAATTCCTTAGATTTCAATAAAAGCTTATATTAATTTTATTATATTTACCTACCAATTTCTCCCATACTAATCTGTTTTTTATCTCTCTACTTTTAGCCCCTCAACGAGGACAAATTCCTCTGCTTTAGCTGCAACAACTGGCTGATCAACTGGCACTCCCTGCAGGCGGTCAACAGCAATGAGGCCGAAAGCCAAAGCCAAAGTCCCTCGCACATGGGCAACAGTGTCCTGCAGCAGGAACGGACCAAGCTGCGTCCGGTGGCGATGGTGCGACCCCAGGTCCGCGTTCAACCCCAATCGCAACCCCAGCCACAGCCCCAAGTGCCAGTCAATCCAACACCCGCACCCATAATCTACTCGAAGCGAAGGAGCAGCAGACGCAGTGCCTCCGTGAGTCGGATGAACCGAGTCCTGCGACAATGTTGCTTGGAAACTCTGCGGAGGAGTCCCCAGAAGAAGCAGCCGGCGGCGGTGATTGTCTACTTGAGGCCTCAGGCTCAAAAAAGAAGCAATCCCATCTGCAAGGTGGAGTGTGTGGCGCCGCGAAGGAAACCAATAGAGCGATTGGTGGTCAAGGAGGCACAAATAGCACCTACAGCCATGCCAAATCAAGCAACCCCACCCACAACCACTTACCAAAGATTCCCGCATCCCAGTGTGGATGGCAAAGTAGTGGCCATGTTCCGGCGACTGGGAACCACGCTCAGCAGGGAGGAACCAGCAGCCTCCGAAGAATCAAGCAGAACCACCAAACCCCGCCCGCAGATCATGAGTCCCCTGGAAGAGAGGCCGCGCTGGACGCGGAGCCTCGAGGAAGATGAGATACTGCTGGAATTCGATAGCGCCATTTCCGAAGTCCTGCCCACAACCACCAGATATCAGGTTACCCAGGGGGAGAATAAAGAGAATGAGGGGTCAGAAGAAATGGAGATCCAAGACCAAGCGGAACTGGAAGTGGTGCAGCGAAAAGCGGAAGTGGATGAGGAGCCACTGCAACCACAGAGCCACCACCTAAATTCCCACCAAACATCTCAACAACTCTCTGGCCTGCGATTACCACTGGGCCTTAGCATTAGCCTCGTCTAAAGAACGCAGGGTCCAACGTAATGCCCCCCAAATCCCCAAACAAAATAGTCAAATTGCATGCACAATACGCAAATTATGAGCATTAGAAGAATGTCTAATTTAAATAGTACCTCGATTATATTTTAATTGTTAGTCAAATAACTTAATTAATTAGCGGACAAGAAGAAAAACACACACAAAACAAGAAAAACCTAAGAATGTTAAGTTAACGGATGTGGAAAGCTATATTTAAAATATACATATTAGTCATAGGCGAACTCCCCGTTTAACCCAAAAAACAAAATGATTAAAAAAAGCAAAAAACTCCCCTCGAGCCAATGTAGTTGAATTTGTTTGTTTGCTCCAAAAGACGAAAGTATTACAAAATAGCAAGCGGAATAAAAATAGCACAAACGCAATCAAAATATATATGAGAAATGGTTTTTTATTTCATTTTTTGGGGGATCTTCATAGGTCGTACTAGTTTTATTGGGAATAGAGATATTATTCTCGAATTCGAGCTACCGGAAGATGGTTATTTTAGTTTTGGAATTGGACTGTATTTGTTGTAAATAAGAATTTTGCAAGGAACCTTTCGAAAGAAGAGAAGGGCCCTCCTTTGAAATTCGGTTTCAAATTTTAGCGCCAATTTGTTTGGGGCTGCCAACCTGGCACACAAATGTACGACTCCGAAAAGTATGCTTTTATATTTCACCACCGGACGCCGAAAAGTACGCTATTAGGATTTATTCAGACTGATCTTTAACCGTTATTTCATTTAAAAAAAAATTAAAAATAAAATTAATTTGAAGAAATGTATACAAAGTTTTACAAAAAATATTTGGTATCGAATTAAAGGTAGTTTTTTTTAGCGTTATTTTTATTTCAAGTTTCCTATATTTTTGTTCAAGTATAAAAGAAAATATTAAAACCAAACCAAAAGTTAAAGCCAAAGGACAGGTAAATTTGATATCTAAAGAATATGTTGGAATATTTTTCCTCTCAGGAAGTCAATATTTTCAGACAAATTTAAAAATAATTTCCAATCTAAAGAGATTTCGGCTCATAACTCTTCTATATTTTTGAAGTGATCAAAACCACACATTATTTCTGGGTTCTTCCAGAATCAACGACCTCATTTTAGAATCATCGTTTGCTTTCGCCTCGCGTCCGAAAGTCCGATATGTAATTGTTGATTTCTGATGCTTTAGCGTATTTATTTGATTTAGCCAATTGCGTAGTGAGAACGAACGTGTTGAGGTCAGCATCGTCGCTGTTGTTGTTTATGCAACTGAGACAGCGGTGCGTATACTCAATTTTGGCTTACAATATGGCATTTCATCAATACACGAACCGATGACTGAGTGGCTGGCAGTTGTGGTTTCTCGGCGACATGACTGGCAACGTTAATAATGTGGTGCGGAAATTTCTACGCGCCACTTCAAGTACGCTTTATTGAGACAGCGACTAAGGTTACTTTTATTTATAAATAAATATCAGTGTGCCTTCTGAACTTGAAGAAGATGACTTGGCGCAAAGAAAAGCGTGCAGTTTCCGGAAATCGAGTATACGCCGTGTTGGCCGTGCAAAGAGCTTACATCTCTCGATTCGCGATTCTGCCGGCTACAAATGACGGTCAAGGTTTAGGCATTTTTCAGGCTGCTTGCCACACGGCACGTTCTACGTTCTGCCGGTCGGTAATTCTATCATTGAGCGAGCACTTTGGGGACATTTTTAGCCGGTCCAAGGATGTGCGATCTTGCCAAAAAAGTTTAGACTTGTATAAGGTCAGTGGTACAGAGAGAGAAACAGTACAGCAATATTATGTTTTTAATAGGGATTTAATTTATTTATAATAATTTTTTATTTTCTTTCATTTTCAATTGGTGTTTATAAGCTTTTTGTTATTACACTTCAAGTTTTAAAAGAAGGTTTTTAAAAAATATTTTTAAAAATTGGTAAAAAAAATATAAAACATTTTTGGTACTTTTAAATTTATATGAATTTAAATTAAATTTAAGACTTATAGGAATTTAATAAAAATGCAGAAGTGAATGTTCTAGTGATATAATTTTTTTCCCGTGCTGCCAGTTCTATTGTTTAAATTTTTCAACTTGCAACTACCCCAATACTCATTGCATTATGTCATCATTCCGACTTCAACTCGCCACAATTTATACCTTATTCGATTGCGATAATTCACAGGGTTTATATTTATCCCCCATCCGCTGGAGATGAACTCTCACTTAATGAGTGCGAGTTGTTCTGGAAAACACGAGCAATGCGACTGGTTTTTTGGCTTTCGGTTTTCGGTTCCTGTTTGAGCACGTTTAATTAGCATAAATTTAAAAGGGAATTCGGCAATAAAGCGCTCAGCGCCAGGAAGTTTAATCAAGCCCCGAGCACATGAACTCGAGCTATGTGATTACAATAAGCGATACCCCCCTTTAAATCAAAGTTATGCAATCTACAAAATGCACGCACAAAATGCTTCCCGTTGGCTAGATCTTATAAAGCTGCACTTTTGAATTTTGCCCACGCGGTGAAAAATTGTGCGACAATTAGTTCACTGGCCAAGCGCCCCGAAAAAACTGGTTTTTCGTATAAAAGTTGATAAAGTATAAAATTCAGGCGGCTGTGGGCGGCGTGGCGGGATGCGTGTGTGCGAAAAATCATTCACTTGCCCATACGTGTGTGTACGAGAGAGCCTGTATATCCATTGAAATTGTTTAATAAATCGAAGCCAAGAAAAAAAAAGATACAAAAATTAACTGAAAAGTGAACAACAAATACCTTGGGACCGCAAAAAAATCGCACGCACGGCAACGATTAAGGCATGAGTACTCGAAATTCAGAGCCCCAGAGGCTGGGAGACAAGGCAATACAATGCTAACGGCCGCTTTATGAACAATTATGAACCGCGGGCGAGTTCGCCAAAAAAAAGGGGGGAAAAAAATATAAAAAAACCCAATTCCAAAAATCGAGTTGGGGGCGCATGCGTCACGCTCATGTCACTTTGCAAAGACAGAAATTACGAATATTATTCAATAAAATTCAAATTGTTGCTTTCACAGGCAAGGCAGACTGGTTGGGATTTGCTGTTATTATATTGTATTTATATTTCGGCGATTTTTTCTCGGCTATTTCGTTGGCCTAGTTACCTTCGGTTCTCGAGTGGCGCGAATTTCGCTTTCAATTTCGACTCGGCCAGCCAGCCAAGATTGCGCAAGATTCGTTAAATGATTTGGCAAAAAGACAGCAAATTTGTTAGCTAAGCTCCATTTCAAGTTCACCATTGTTGGTAAATTATAATAATACCCCGGAGACCAATTGCAACTGCAAATCCCCCAAAAGGCGCTTGGTTTTTTGTAACAAGTTTATTTACGGTTAACACGCATAATATAATTTATTGCTTCCACAGATTTATGCTTCTGTAGGAAATCGAAATTAAAAGCTAAAAATGAAAAATATTTTTATTCTCTCCTGTAATAATCCGTTTTGCTGTTTCCTCCGTTTTATCTTTCGTTTTCAGGAGGACAACCAAGTTCTTAAATCCTAAATATCTGATTATTATACTAACTAATTGAATAAAAGTGTTGAAAATAATAAACAAATAAAAGAAAAAAAGAGGGGAAATCTATGAGTGGGATAGGTGGAAAATGTGGAAAACACTTTTGCCTGCCCTGCGAATTCTAAAACCTAATGACCTGAGAATCTAATTCAATTTTTATTGGCTCTTGATACATCCGTATTACTATGGCCACGATTCTTTAACTGATGTTTTATGGCAGCAGTTTGATTAATGGGTTTGACTATCCTACATCTAACCTAATTGCACGATAATTAAAAGTGTTTATGGGCAATAAAAGAATACTTGACCTGCATGCAAGTTTGCAGTAATATTTTGTGAACTCATAAGGATATAGGCGGCTGAATAAGCTAGATTTATAGAAGTCATAATAGTTGGGCCCGTGTTCTACTTCTAAAATAAAATATATCAAAAATATAACAAATAATAACTGGTTAATGGTCAATCGTAAAAGTTGATTAATAATTATAATCCTTAGTGTCTACCAAACCAATTATTTTTAATTTTCTTTACCTTAAACTATTGGCAGTGATAAGAATGGTTATTAAAAAAATAAAAGTTTAAGGGCTAGCAAAATTCCACATTAACCCACGTAAACCCTCATAAATTTCAGTGATCAAAAAATTCGTTAACTAAAGGTTTCTGTTCTTAACCTAGGTTGGGTTAAGGTTTCTTGGGGGTGCGTATGGTGTAAGTGTGTGGGGCGTTTCTAACAAGTTGGACAGCATCACAGTGTACAGCCATTAATTTCACATATTATTTCACATATTATCTTCCCCCTAAAATTAATCAACAAAAATAAAACCCCCTTAATTCACTGGCGAAATGGTCTGTCCGAATTTCCTGGCTCGCTGGCCGAAACCCTTGCTACCATCGGGACCCATGGGAGTTCGCACAAGACTCTCGGCAGCCCGCTGGGCAAAGGAACCGGATCTCGATCGGGGAGAACCATCCAGGAAGCTTCCAGTTCGAGATCTAGGCTGCCCATCATAGTCTCCTCCTCCATGCTTGTAGTTGCTGAGGAAACTTCCCGTGCGAGAACGCGGAGATCCCTCGAATCCCTCTGAACCAAAGGAGCAGCGACGATCGTAGCCCGAATCCGTGGAGATGCGTCTGCCTCCGATATACTGAGCATTATCGTAGGCCGCCAGTTTGCTGCTCAGCTGCTGGAAATTATTGGAATAGCGACGTGGCCACACCTGGTAGCCACCGCCTCCGCCGCCCACCAGCTGATCCGTTTGAATCTGCTCCCTTTCTATATTAAAATCATTGGAGGGACGACGATAGAAGCCGCTGCTCTCGCTGGCATTCGAGAAGGTCCTCTCGAACTGCATGGATCCATTGGAGAAGCGACGCTCCTGGTTTTGATTGCCTGGACAACTGCCATTGGAGCAGACCGAGGTCTTCCTGTAGTTACTATCTGTGGCAGCCTGTTGACCAAAGTCTGAAACCCGCCTCGAGCAAGGACAACTCTCCGAGCAGTTGGAATCACGTCTCTGAGGAATTCCCCCGGTTTCCGAGCAATTGCTAGCCCTTCGCGACATTGAAGGAGGATTAACCACCTCTGGTGAGAAGTTCTGCTCGGAACAGTTGGACAGACGTCTTTGTAAATTGCTCACGGGATTACCGCCTGAATTTGCAACAGAGGATACCGGAGAAGCATCGCCCAAGGCAGCCGCTGTGTTGGCCGAAATCGTTGATGTGTTGCTGTATCTTCGCGGACCATAGCCGAAAAAACCCTGGGGATTCATGTCCTGGCTCTGATTGCCACCAATGCTGCCGCGTGGCTGATAGTGCTGATAGGGATTGGTATGATAACCCTGATAACTCTGATTCGGTCCCATTTGCTGATAGTAACTGGGTTGGAAATCCGAGTTATTACGCTTGAGTTTAAAGCGAAGATCGGGAACAGTTTCGTGACCCGAGAAGCTGCCACCGCGACTCCTCTCGTAATTTGAATCATTGTAGTAACGATAGTTCTCCACCATTCGGGCCACTGGAGCGGCAATCTGGATGACGGCTGCCTTTTTGCCGGTCTTCTTCTTGGGCGCCACCATTTCGTACACCTGGAAGGGACCACTCAGGTGACGGGCATCCCGGGCGGAAGAGGATTCTAGGTACTCCACCAAAGCACACTCCTTTTGCTGCAGTTCCGGGTACTTGTTCATGAATTGTCGAACATCCACGGGTATAGCCATTCCTGGTTTTAGAATTCTTATCAAGGCAATCTCACCGCAACGGGAGAAGAGATCCGAAACCTTTTCAATAGTAAGCTTATCCATTGGAAGATCACAGGCCACAATGGTGCGCGAGGGCATGGTCTCATCGAAACTGGGCAGGGGTTCAATCCTCCTCACCTTGGTGCCCACATCATTGAGTTCAATTTTGCGGGATTTGCGACGCACTGCATCGCCGACTACTTTCCATTCCCTGGTCAACTGGCGCACCCGCTTGAAACTGGAGACCAGTTTTAGGCTAACGAAACCCTCCTTGTTGCGACGCACATGCTTCAAGAGGAAGGCATCCTTGAGGATGCTCTCGTTGGAGAAGTAGAACTCCACGGCATCGGTGATCTCGGCGGCCAGTTCCTCGCTGGGAATGAGCGAGGGATCGAGGGTGTCGATCTCATTGGGTCCCTGGGATTCGGCATCTAAATCCTGAGGGATCTGAACTTCCTTTTCCTGCTCAGGTTCCACCTCCTTTTCCTTCTTGATCGCCAGGAAGGAGCGATGACTTCTCTTGGCCTCCAGAACAGGTGAGTTGGCTGGGGCCACCGCTGGAGGTGGAGAAGCATCCAGGGTGAAATTGGGATGCAGATAGATATTATCCATCTGGTGCTTGCGGAACTTTTCCAAATTCGCCTCACTCAAGACAGCTGGAGGCGTTGATTGCCTTTCGTTTAATTCCACCTCGTGCATGATGTGATTATCCACCGCCAGGGGCTTTAGTTCATCACCCTCTTCCGAAGACTCCTCGGAATCGCCAATGGAAGAACCCATTCCCACATCCACCAGCTGATGATCCGTGGGCGACATGGGTGGCGCCGTGGGCGAGGTATCCTCCGAGGAGCTGCCATTGCTGCTTCCCAGTTGAGAGTCCAGCGATTCCATTTGGTGGAGCAGCGCCTGGGCGGATCGCCTGGCGTGCATGCGTAGCAACTTGCAGGGGAGGGAGGAGGAAAGCGGCACCACCGCCTGGGAACTGCAGCTGGGCTGGTCATCCAGTTCCTCCAACTCCTCCTTGGGTTTTTCTTTAGGAGATTGGGGCTTCATCACAGGCACCGCGGTGAGAATGGGCGCCAGAATGGGCGTGGAATCCACAGGACTCACGAGGAAGGTGTGACCCTCTGCTCCCGCATGAGGTGCCTTCACCTCGTAGACCTCTGGTTCCGATTGATCCTTCTGGGTTTTATGATTATCCATGGTTATAACTCTTTCCCCAAACGACCTTGGCTGATGCTCTGAGATGTTTTATGGGCACTCCAGCAAAAGCAAACAAAAAAGCTTAGGCAATGGTCTTTCTTTCCGTCTTTTTCTCTTTCCTCGCCTTAATTTCTCCGCTCTCTTTCACTTTCACTTTCAAGTTCAGCTGGGAGCTGCACTTTTTATTTATAAGCCAAGAGATCTGCCAGATCTGAGTAACCAGAAACCGAAACTGAAACGTTCATTGAACGTCAGCTGTTGCTGTTGCTGTTGCTGCTATGTTGCCAATGTTGCTGCCGTAGTTGCAGCAGTTGCTGGTGTGCTTTTTATGTTTTATATCGCCGTTTGCGTAATTTCGTCTGCAACGTGCTCGGAATTTGTTTAGGGCGTTTGGTTCGCTGGGGTTTTTGTGTGTTTTTTATTTTGTTTCTTTTTCTAGGCCGCGCTTGACACCGTTTTGCCAAAGTTAATAAATAAAAGTTCAATTAACAATTTCGACGACGTTTTTGGGTAATTTTCGAGTTCAAGTTGTTGCTGGTAGTAGTTGTTGTTGTTGCCCGTTTCCTAACTAATATGTATTTCCGTAAGGCTGTTTCTGTTTCGTTTGAACTTGTGTAAACTTTGTGTTTCTGTTTCGCACGCGACTAAAATTGAGTTCATGCAACGCTGCAACGCGGAGATCGACTGAAATTGCAAATTGATTTGAGGTCGGTTAAATACCCTCTGCTTTCGTTTCAATTTTTTCTGCCTCTTTTTTCGTGTTTACAGCAAAGCCAGGCGGCCGGCGGCAGCGCAGTCGACGTCCGCCAGCGGCAGCGGCGTCGGCGGCGTTATTGAGCGGTCCAAGTACGCACGATAACAACAAACACAGCAACAACAACAGCCAGAGTCAATAGCAACAACAACGGCGAGCAGAGAGAGCAGCGACGTCGGCAGCGACAACTTATTGGCAACACACACGAAACTTGTTGCGTTGGCAACAACAACACCGGGGGGCTACAGCAGCAGCAACAACAGCAGCAAACACAGCTGCAGCAATAGCAAACATAACAGCAACAATATCGAACAACGCAGCAACAACCACAGCAATAGGAGCTGCAGACACAGGAGCAACAACAGCAAACACAGCAGCAACAACAAAGCCTGCAACAGCAATAGGAGCAGCAAACACAGCAGCAACACCAAGAACAACAACACCTTCTATAAAGCCAGCAACAACAGCAAACACAGCAGCAACACAAAAATAAATACCACCAGCAATATGACCAAAAACAACAGCAACACATGGGTGACAATCGCTTCTTTAGTCGCTTGAATATTCTATTAATTTCCACATCGCACACACACATTAACCACTTCCGATTTGCATTGATCGCATGAAAATTGGGAAAGTGCTTTTCGTGTGGCGACCTCGTTGCACACACAAAACACACAATTTCAATTGCAATCGCATTCGCAATTACTGCGTCCAGTGCTAGCCGTTTATCTCCGAGGGGAAACAGGAAGGAAATTGCAGCTAGACAACAAATTGCAATTTGAGGGTTACACACTTGACAACCCAGAGTCGCTGATCAATCAATTGCACACAAAAAGGTCAGTTCCGCTTTAGAACGAAGCGATTGGAGTTGTACAGAAAGCAATAAATAGAACAGGTACAGAAAATATAGGACATTTCTTAGAATATTACATGCACAAACTGCAAAGATAAAATTATGATTTATTTATCTTCTTCCAGATCATATTTAAATACATAAATAATGAGTATGAGATATTTATAAAAATACTAGAATAATATTTTATTTAATAAAATTCAAGGCTACATCACTCTGCAATAATTAAATAAGAACTATAAAAACCCTATTAAAATTATCAAATAATATTTTTTATAAGCAAAATATATGTTAAAAATCCTATAAAATCTCTATTAAATTTCCCTTATTAAATTCTGTCATTTTCCTTAATCAATTATAACGCCGTGAAATGGATCTCGCCAATCTCGCTGTTTACCCGACTCATTAGTGCAGGGAATCTTCATTACATCGCAGTTATCGCATCGGCAATTTGCATGTCAAGTGCAAGTTCAAGTGCAATATTGAAATGAGCCGCATAGGCAGCGTCATTCTCTCGACTTTTGCTTTAGCTCCCTCGTTGTGTATTGTATTGTGCCTTATTATATCATCGCTCATACAATCATATGCAAAATATGCATAATGGGCAAAGAATAATCCCTTTAGCGGGGGCCTTACTTTTATGAAACACTGTGTTGCATCAGCTGCACCTCCTCCTCCTCATTTTTTAGCGCTGTTTACCCAAACTGATAAAATTATACAAGAACAAGAAAGAGGCGAGACAGAACCAGAACAAACGTTTGCAATCCAATTACAAGGTGCTGCCTGTTGCGGCCACACGGCGTATACTTGACATAAGGTCAACTGGCCATCAAATGCTCATTAATTTGCCAATTGACGACAAGCATTTCATTTCGCATAGTGGAGTGAATAGTTCCCCCCTACAATTTGATTTGCCAACAAGTAAATTATGTTGCCAAAAAAAAACGAAGAGAAAAACGTAAAAAAATAAGATAAATGAATAGCGAAAAAGAAAAAATCTTTGCAACCTTGCGGTAAGAGACACACTGGCATACTGGCAGAGCAACAATAAGAAATCAAGAGTTTTGTTTTATTGTTTATGGGCCTGGTAGCAGAAAGCATAGAGCCAACAAACAAACCGCAAATGGCAAATGATTTATTTAATACGAATCAAAATTATGATTTTGTTTTTTTTGGGTTTTTTTTGTCTACTGTTTGCAAGCGGCAGGCGTGTCCCTCCAAGATCGATTAATCCAACTCGTTTGATTGTGGCCAAAAAGTTGGAAATAATCCAGGAAGTGGCTACATTTGAGGTAGGTCAAATAAAACAAAATTATAAAAAAATATAAAAAAGGTAGGGAGCTAGCAAATTGCCTCTAAAAGCCAATTTTTAAGCCTTAGCTCCGTATTGTTCACGCATTTATTTGCCTTTATTTACTTTTTGCACTTTTTTCCCCGAGAGGCAGTCGAAGTGCGTTCAGGGCCACCGATCTGTAGCTATAACCGATCTGCTTGCGATCGGCGCACATTAGCAATTGTTAGCTGAAGTTTGTCCTTCTGTTGACATTTTGCACGCGTTGCTATGTTGTTGAGCCTACGCAAAAAGTTCATAAAAAAATAAAGAAAAGAAAAACAGTTCGCCCCAGAGATTTTTCGATTTTTTGGTTTGGCGAGTGGGAAGACCTGGCTGTCAGCACCGATCAGTCGAGATATACGAAACTGGAGTTTAAAGTATTTCCATTTCCATTTTGCATAATTGCAAATTGCATAGTGCACTTTCATTAATATATTTTTAGCACGACGCTCGATTCAGCTTTTCAGCTCATTAGATTGCATGACTGGTGGTCGGGCAACAATTGGCAATCAATACGACAGTTTCCCTCACCTCAAGTTCAATGTGGCGGCTACTTAAATTCCTTGAATTTTAATTCCTTGCTTTGTGCCACGCTGATGAGTTATGATCGCATATCCTGCGCGTCCGGCTAAACGGATTTATGGCTGCAAATTGTATGGATGGCCGCGAAAGTGGGTCATGAGAATCCGCACTCGGGATTACATAATTCAGAACCTTTTATCGGGATGGAAAGAGCCAGAAACCAGACGGGGAAACAGGTTCAGGACAAGGGCAGTGCAACCTTCGGGTTGTTTTGATCGGCACTTAGAGAAAAATAACTTGATTTTAATAAAATTTAAATATTTTTTATTTATATAAAATGATTGTATTGATTTTGGGAAATTAAAAAGTGGGAAGAATAGCAACAATTTTAATATTATAGGGCAATGAGCTTTTTGAAAAGTCTTCGAAAAAATATCTTAAAAATAATTATAATAATATTACCAAATTTTATAATTCATAGCACTAAACTTTAAAAAATGTATTTTGTTACATGACATTTCATTATCTAGATTAAGTAAAATTCTTAGAGAGAAACTCACAATCTTGCTAAATTACATGGTAATTTCTATCTCAATAAAACCTTCAATTTTTCCGCCGTGCAAGTGGCAATCACCACCTGCATCTGGTGGTGGCATCCACTTGAGAGCGGTGCCCGAAAACCAGTTCGATGTCAAGTGCCTGAAGTGCCTGCAACGAAACGAGCCCAAGTTTCGGCACTTCATTAAGGAAGCGACCTTGGCAGAGGCTGATGCCAGCACAATTTATCGCCGGTGGAGGCAGGAAGACGTTGCCGCCGCCGCTGGCGACTCGTCCGCGATTCTGGACGGGAGATGGACATGGGTAGGAGATGGGGCTGGCGATGGAGATGCAACAGGTTGGAGACCGAAAGGCTGACCTCCAGTATGGCGTTACATATAGCATATTTTTTATTCGACTGCCAGGTAGGCAGACCATTGTGCAGCACGCTTTTAATTAAGCCGCCGCAGTTCGAAATGTAAATCGCAAAGTGCATTTGCCTCCTTTCCCGAGCGACAGAATTGGGTTACAAATGTCTCGGAGCGGAGAACAAGATATGCAGAGGAAGAAATCATTAAGCGTAATATAATAAAATAGAAAAAAATATTTTATTTATTTTTGGAACTCAGGATTTAAGATCTTTTAACATTTATTTTTTGGACTTTTCGGCAAAAAGCTGACAGATCCAAGAAAAATTATATCTCTAGCAATGATATAATATTATTAGTAATGTGATATTATAAGAATGATATTAGGTGTTAGAATTTTTCTAATAAAATCTTGTTTGTAACAGTTATTTTTTCTATAGAGGATATAATGTTTTAATAGATAAAGTGTTGATTTGGTTATGGTTTTTTTATGTGTGGGGCTGGGCCTCGCACTTTTCCAAAAAAAAAAAGAGAAGTAAATCCGCAATCCACAATCCACCCAAGTTGTGCAATTAAAATCGCAAGCGTTTTTCGAGTTGTGGGTCCCCTGATTGGTTTTTGTACATTTTTGTATTTTTTCTTGTTAATTTTTTTTAGTTTTTGGTGCGTGCAACGCATTGGGGGCAACGCCTGTCTCCGTGTGGGTTGGTCTCCCTGCCTTTTGGTATGTGCAAAATGTTATGGCCATAATGAAAAGACCGACATAACGTTTATGGCCTGCGAGTTTGTTTATTTGCTTATTGAAAGCAAAAAAAAAATACCCAAAGGGAGCTGTGAGATCTATGGAATTGTAGAATTATTCTAGCAATTTGCAGCATGCAAGTTACCGTTGGGGAGTATGCCATAAATTAAGCTATTAATAGCTCAATTAATTTCCTCGACTACGATTAAAATTCCCACAGCATGTTATAAAGCAAACATTGCAAAACGGAAGCGTATCTGGAAGTTTACGGCAATGAGAAGTTAAGTACAAACCCCGATCAGTGATAACTTAATGCTGTTTATGAATTGGGTAGAAAAAAAACACATATAATTGGAAGTAACTGCTCGATCTTTGGGGCTATCATAAACGAATCAAACTTTGGTTGGTCCGGTTGCGTGACTCAGGCGCAAAATGAATTTTCCAGCGATTAATCTGCATGTGCAGCCATAGAATACAAAATATACACACAATATATCTCTATCTCTATACACATAGGCGAAAACGGCCTTCAAAAATGGCAAACAACGCGATATTAAATTATGCGCCTAGGCCTATTATTTTATGCAATTGATAAATTGACAACGAGGTCCGCTCACTTTTGTGTTTTTCGCTTTTTTTCGCAGTGAAAATCCGCTCACATGCGTGCCAAGTTTCTTGCCCCGCCTACCATATATACCACATCATGTGGCATATATATAAAATCGCATAATGCCTGGCAACTTTCATATTGAGTGAACTTTTCGCTATTTGTCATTCGTTTTCAATGTCAAGGTTGTCGCTGCTTATAATGCATTTATCGCCTTTCAATTAGCCGCCAGTCGCAGTCGCAATCGCATCCTTGTCTAAATTAGCTGCCTCTGCTGAATTTGCTTAGGCAAATTAGCTTGGCTGATAACACTAGTTTACAGCCAAAATACACCATTACCAATAAACCACTTTTGACTGTAAGACTCTAAAAAACTCTAAGTTTGCCGATCTGGAGCTTACAATTTACTCAATGTATCCATTAATTTTTTCTGCAAAGTCAAAGGCTGACATTATAGTGGTAATTTGAAGCCAATATCACCTAATTTGGTTAAGAGCAACTCGAGATATACACAAAAAAACCCGGATCTACAAAGAAAAAATGTTCTTTAAAAAATGTAAAAAAAATAACATAACAAATTTTTGATTTATTTTTTGTAATCTAGGCGTCATTCTTTCTTTTTGGTGCCTGTTCAAAAAAGTATTTTGTAGGCCAGTGTAATTATGTTGCTTTCGGTGAAATTCACCAAGCGAAAAAGAGTGAAAAACAACATTCGAAGGCAACGAACGCACTTGCCGATAATAAATTCTATCTATACTATAAATATCAAATATCAATGCATTTGACAAATTGCCTGCGATATTCAAATTTGTCTATGGAAAGAATGGGCCGGAGTTTCTGCCAAGGCTGCGCCAAATGGGCATAAATCATTTAACCCCAACTCACTGGACATATCGAACATGAAAATAGGCGTTTTCCTTTTATTTTATCAGCCAATTGAGATCGCGGGCATTTGTTAGTCATTTTTGTGATTTTTTTTCTGGCATATGTGGCGTATGAGTGATGTTGAATTTAGGTCTCACCTTTAGCCGCCACTTCCTCGGGGAATTGCATCTCCATCTCCAGTGAATCACTGAATTACTGGCCATAAATTGAGAGTTGCCTCGATATGGTCACGCCAACAGCATCATCATCAGACGAATGGCCTCAGATGTCGCGCTTTTTGGCGTGATTTCGAGTCGCCAACCTTGGCCTTAGAACATCGAGTACAATCGCTTGTTAGCCGCCGATACAGATGTACACTGTGCATGCAACAATCGGCTGTCTAACGGCAGTTAGGCACTATTCTCGACAGCTGTTAACAGGCGACCCAGCCCCACCCAACCCATTCCACTCCATTCATCGCTGACATTGCAAAACTATAAATAAAACTGAAAAACTAAAAACAATATGCAGTAATACGGCGAACCGTTAAGTCTGTTAGATTAATTGCACATTGATTACAGGCAATTACAATGAGCAGAGCGAGAGTAACGGAAATGAAATCGAGAGACGCGGCTAAAACGCGAGCAAGTCGCGTTGAAACCGCACTGAAAACGCGCCAAACAGGCGGAAGCTTAAAAATGCTTCAAAAGTTATAGAGATCTAAAAATAAACTTAGAGTTTTCTGCACTTTTATTTTCAGGACCAGGCTTCGTAGTTGGGTGAGTTCAATAAATACTTACAGGCTAGGCAAACATGTGTAACACAATCTTTAGTTAGCAACTAATACAACTTATCGAACAGTAGGCGGCGAAGGCGTAGGCGTAGGAGGGGGCGTGGCAGCGGCAGTGGCAGTAGCAGCCCGCCTGCTTGGCACACGAGCAGCAGCAGCCGCCGCCATAGGAATAAATACTACAACTTAAGCTGCCGCTTCTCCATTTTTCGCTCGCGTTGCAGCAGGAACTCGCGCCTCAAATCGCTGGATCGCATCTCTAAAATGCAGTTCAGCTTGCTGTGGATCTGCTCTGCCGTGTGGGTGTCCGTGTCGAAGTCGTAGTGCTTGAAACGAATATTGCTGCTCGCGAAGAGGCCGGAAGAGTGACCCGGACTGTTGGGGGAGTGGGCGATGCCCGCGCCGGCGCTTCCCATATTCAGCGTGGTCACGCTGGCATTAATCTGCGCCGACGTGCAGCCGGCGGAGAAGGAAGGCGACGAGGAGTTGGATTTCAGCCAGATGCGCAGCAGGGCCTTCAGCTGGCGTCGCTCCACAATTTCGCAGTGGGCTACAAAGTCAATGGGCGTGGAGACGGGCTTCTTTTGCGGCCAGAACTTGGCATTCTTGTACTGATCGATCTCTATTCGCTCGCCGGAAATGCCCAAAGTCACGTCGGACTTGAAGAACCGCTTGTCGATGATGTTCAGGCGGAAAGTGCGGTGCATCGGGGCCTCCAGCATGTCATTGTGGTTCAGCAGGCGCTTCTCGTACTCGGTTACATTGTCATGCGGACTGTCTCCTCCTCCTCCTGGATCGCTGGTCCCTCCATTTAGATTTATACTTTGCAGCGCCTTCACAGCCGCCTCGGCCACGGCTGCCTTGTCCTCCTCGGAAGTCATGGATTTGGTGCCCAGCTGGTTGTGATAGTCCACGCGGGTCACCGGCGCCAAGGGCCGTCGTTCAGCTAGCGTCAAATGGGAGAAGCCAAACTTGGAGCAGGGTTCGCGGTTGTCCAGCGGCGGAAAGTCCTCCATATCATCGTTATCCTCCGTCATATACAAGGCGTAGTGCTGCAGGGATTTCAGAGGAACCTCGGGATACTGCAAGGAGGTCTTGTAGCAGACATAGCCGATGACCTCCTGGATTTTGGCCGAGGCTAGAACGCAGATCTTCAGCGGATAGTTGCGATCCGGTTCGGGAAGCATATTCAAATACACATTAATCCGTTTCGTTTGCATGCCCACCTGGGAGGTGCCATCGAAGCGGGCGAACTCAACGAAGCGATTCTGCGTTTGCTTGGGGCTCTTGGCCAGCTGCTCGGTGAGTTGGCTAAGAACCTCGTTGCTCCTCGGCACCTCCTTGCGCCTGAAGAAATCCTCGCTGTCCGGCGGCTGCACTTCCTCCTGGTAGTTGATACTCTTGATGCGCGCCGCCCGCCGCTTGGCAATGTCCAGCTTCTCCAGCTTCTGGGCAGTGTTGGAGCGAAAGCGATGGGCGCCCACCTCGGGATACATCTGGATGTCGAAGGAGTGCGTCGACATGTCCTCCTCGTCGTCGCTGAGGTCCAGTCCCGGGTAGCAGATGAAGTCCACCTCCTGGAGCGGCGCATCCGGATGGCGGGTGTTCCGCTCGGGGGTGGTCCCGCCCCCTCCCCCTCCTCCTCCTCCCCCCGTGGGCGGTGGCTTCTGGGAGCGCCTGAAGTGATGATAGTGATCTCCAGCTCCTGGATTCCCGAATTTGCGCAAATAGTGCTTGGGCATGTCGTCGCTCAGCATCACCGTCTCGCACATGCCCGAGTCGTCCGTGGAGATGAAGGAGTTGCGGATGTGGGAGAGCAGCCAGTGCTGGTTGGAGTAGGTGGCCATGGTGGTGGTAAACAAAAGAAAATCGCTTTTCCGGAGTTAATTTCTATTTATCTCAGCATCTCGGGAAAAAGCACTAGCGCGTTATGGTAAGTTAGAGATGGTAAGTGGGTAGGGTGTGTGTCTCCGCTAGGACTCAGCGTTGCCGTATTATCCGCGCTGGCCCGCCTATCGGTTATCGGCCACCATATGACTTTTTCCAGACGCGACGAGTTACAGAATTACAGAATAAGTTAATTAAAGTGAGTTTTCCGCCAACCACGCTGCCGTTCTTCGATGTCCCCATCTTGAGAACTCCCAGCCGGATCGTGTCGATGTGCTAGCCAGCGGCGAGATGGCGGGCATGGAGGTAGAATTCGACGAGACGGTGGTCAATCAGTTCAGCTGCAAGCGCTGCGACCGCGTAAGTCTCGCGGAAAGGCATCCTATTGGATAGATTTAATCATTATCCGACTATTACAGACCTTCAAGAGCAAGCGGGACCAGACGCTGCACCGGCAGGAGGTGCACAACCACAACAAGACCACCTACGAGTGCAAGCTGTGCGCCAAGAGCTTCTGCAACTCGGGCAACCTCGATCGCCACATGAAGGTGCACAACGATGTGCGGCCCTTCGTGTGCAACATCTGCTCGAAGGCCTTCGCCCAGGCTGTGAACCTGCAGCGCCACTATGCGGTGCACAGCGGGGAGCGGCCCTTCACCTGCAACTTCTGCAACAAGTCCTTCACCCAGCAGAGCAACATGAAGCGCCACAAGATGACACACACGGGCGAGAAGCCCTTCCGCTGCCAGCGATGCGGACGGTACTTCTCCCAGCTGGTCAACCTCAAGAAGCACAAGCTGGGCCACCTCAACGCCAAGCCCTACCAGTGCAACTACTGCGAGAAGGGCTTCACCCAGCTGTCCAACTTCAAGCGCCACCTGCAGTCGCACATCAAGGAGGGCGTCGACGTGGACGTGTCCGCCTCCATCCAGCAGGCGGCCGCTTTGGCCAGGGAGCGGCTCGAGGCGGAGCAGAAACCGTAAGTGGTGGTTAGGAGTAGAGGAGGATCAAGGTGCCCTTTAAGGCGATTAATCTAACTAGACCTACCTCAATTGTCTAGAAAGATAAGAAGAGGTTTAGGACTGCAAACAGATAAGCTTAAGGCTGACAGAAGGCATAACTTAGTTCATATTCACCTTGGTTAAATACCAGAATTAATCAATTGTATAAAAGTAGAACCTCTTCCTTAATTGATGCCTCAAATTACCAATCACAGAGTAAATACGAGATATTTCATTCCAATGAACTTATATTAAGGCATATTAACATCATTTTAAGGCATGTTAACGTCACTTTCCATTTTAAATAGAATCCTTTAATTTAATTTAACGTTTAATACATTTTTAGACATTTCAACTATAAAAAAGGCATTAAAATCACCATCAAAAATGTTTTCCAGCGATAATTAGACTGACAAGCATAGAAAAAGCCTTGATTTCAATTGAATAAGCTTATATTTTGAGGCAGTATTATTTAATTTAACGTTGAAGACATCTTTAAACATTTAAACTATAAAAAAGGCTTTAAAATCACTATCAAGTATGTTCTCCTATAATAATTAGACAGAAAAGCTTAGAAATCCCCTTGATCCTCCTTCAGCACTCAACTCTAATTTACCATATTAAACTCTTTTCCCTTTTCAGAAGCTTCTTCGAGTGCATGGTTTGTCGGGCCATCTTCGATACGTTCGCCGACTACGAGAAGCACGAGACCAAGTGCCATGAGGACCACGAGCGGGCCCAGCTGGAGGTGAATCAGATGTCCCACATGCATCCCGACGACTATTTGCCCATGAAGTTCGCCGTGCCCGATCTGGATACGCACGAGATCATAATTGAGACTACACATTAGAGATGGCGATAATGTTAAACAAGAAACCATATAGAAAACACAAAAATCAACTCACACCTACACATACAAATAGCGGCAGTTGCGTCTGGAAGATAGATTGTGAAGAATATTGCATTGAATATACAGATATGAATAGATATGCAGGCCAACATAGTTCTCCATTGAATTACGTCAATAAATGCAATAAATATATGCAGAAAACACTGGTGAACGTTGCTAATCAACCCGATCTCCGTTTACATTGTTGCTTTGGAGCCATTAAAGACCAGGCTAACCCGTCGATTTACAGACCCTAAAGACGTTTTAACTGCAGCCTTTATTATGTGCCATTTTATGGGCATATGTATGATATTTGCCGGATTTTCCAGCGTCACATCATCAACGACAAGTCCCCAAAACCTCGCAGTGCGTAAATTGTCGCTTTAATGACACATTTCCCGTGCTCGTAAAACTGCCCGTTTTCCAGAATGTCTGCAAAACATTCTTGCGTCATTAATGCGGCAAATATGTTTGCTAAATAGTCGGCAAAGTTCGAATAAGTAAAGGTGAAGCTAACCGACAGGTCCATAATTTATACATGTGTCTGCCACAATGATTTCTCGGTTATTTGATTGAAACTAATTAACGGCACGTTCCCGACTTGTTTACAAGCCACCAGTCATTCGGCCATAATTGATCGTAGGGTCCTGGCTATCAGCATCCACTCGCTCGCTCTGACCATGTCCTTTTGCGGCTTACACAGTCATCGTTTTTGCTGCAGCAGCGCTACTAAATCAAACTATTTATACATCTGAATCCCCGCACTCACTCTTTTGCGCTCACAAGGAAATAATATTTCATGTCCACATCCTCGTCCTGCCTGCCTGCCATGTGTGTGCTCAACTGGCATTCGATTGCTTAAATGGTCACTGCCTGTGGGTAGCCTCGGCCTCGGACTAATAGGTCCACATTTATTAGGCTGCCCGATGTCATTTGTTATAAATTTATTATGGTAACTGCCCTGGCCCCGATCCCAGCTCATAAGTTGGTCAAGAAGAGCTAATAAGAAGAAATGCATATGATTTATAGAAAGCTGACCTAATCTGGGATTAAGAACTAAATTATTTCATCATCTTTTTTTACTAAAAGCAATTAAATAATTATTTTGGGAGTTAAGTTATGTTGTTTTCTGTAAAAGTAATAAGTTTACATTTTTTTTTTCAATACTTTCATATTTGTTATAACTTTTTATAAACGCATTTTAGAAAATTATTTATTTTTGGAAAGTTAACTTGAGATTTTCTAATAAGGTTTAAATTGTTTACCTATTTCTATTACATTTATTTATCTATCGTCAATTTTTAATTAAATGTTATGGATTGGTGGGCTTAGTTTTCCCCAACTATGGAAGATACAAATTAAATTATTTAATCAACTTTTTTTACTAAAAGCAATTTAATAATTATTTTGGGAATTAAGTTATGTTGTTTTTTGTAAAAGTCATAAGTTTAATTTTTTTTTCATGTTTTATAAATGCATTTTAGAAAATTATATATTTTTGGAAAGTTATCTTGAGGTTTTTTAACAAGGTTTAAATTCTATACCTATTTCTATGAAATTTATTTAGAACTTTTAACTCGAACTTTTATGTAGATGAACAATATATTTTGATTGCTGTTGAACTTCTATTCTGTGATTGTTTCCCTTTCCACTGCTGAAATGTCTGGTGCAGATTTGGAGTGTGTGTTTTCAATGAAATCAATAACTGCTGCCTGCCACGCCCCTTTTAGCAAATGGGCGACGGACTGGGGATTGTGATTTTTGTGTTTTTCTGTGTGTGTGTGCTATTTTTTATACAGTGCAAATATTTGCACATTGAGATTGTGTGGCAATAACGGTTCGTTTCCCGTTTCGACCCCTTCGCCCTCATTGCCAATTGTTTGCTCAGCAGTGCACAGCATGCAAATAATCACACTGGAAATCTGGGATGCACAAACATTTAGGGGGCGTGGCCATGGCCATGACGTCACCCAGGGTTAATGAGTTCTGGGTTTTTTTCAAACAAGTTGACAAAGGCAAACAGCATCATCAGTTTTGCACACGCAGTTGAGTCATTAAGGACAACGCCTGCGGTTAGGAAACATTTTTTTGTTTGGTTTGCGGTGAAAAGTCCCTATCCTAAAAGGCAATTTCCATTCGAGATCGAGATTTCCACTTTTTTTTCCTTTTTGACATTCAGGCAAGGCCACCCGCATGTCCTAAATTGATTTGGCAAGTGCCCCATCCCAGCCATCATCATCATTACCATTATCATCTCTGTTCTCCTTGTCATCTTGGCTTAGAAATACCAACCAAAGCCACCAAGTCAACGCCAGCGAGTGTGAAAAGCCACAGAAAGGAGCTCGAGCAGTCGTTGCTTTTCATGTTGCTCCTGTGCTGCTGCTGTTGCTGCGGTGCCGTTGAAGTTGCTGCTGTCGCGTTGTTGTTGCTGCTGCGGTGTTGTTCTGACATTGCTAGCCGCACATTATGGCCACCAAGTGGCTGGCCAAACGAGAATGTCAGTGGCAGAAAAAGGAGGTGGAAATCACATGCATGTTGCTGGCGGGATTGCAACTGCAACTGCAATAGCAACGCGTAATTGAGTTTTACATGCGAAATGGAGCTGCCAATTGCATTCGCCCCTAGTTTCACTGGTTTCTGGTTTCCGGTTTTACCCCAATAAGCCATAATTAGACTTTTGGCCAGCGGGCAATTGAATTTTATTGGCGCTAAAACTGGCATTGAATTTTGCCATTTGATTGTTCGCCTTTTCAATGGCTGCGTATAAATACACGCCTGAAATCTATCCAAATGAAGTCATTGCCATGTCAAGCGACCCGTTCGTATATAAACATTTATTTATACTATGTATAGTGGGTTTCGGCATTGTTTTGGTTGTTGTTTGTTGGCACTTTGCGTATGCCACTCACAGCGGATGTTTTTGGCTGGCGATACGTGACACCCACAGACTGCGTGTCTGACTGGGTGTCCATGTGGGGTCCTTATGACCCCCTAACTCCCACCCCTCCACCCCCCACAGATAGGCAATAGAAATGGTTGACAAACACATATGCAAGGCGGCTGTCAAACACGCAAGCCGCTTAAACTAACGCGTGTGCGTGTGTGTGTGAGTGTGCGTGTGTAGCCGGTTTTGGCCAGGTTAATTTGGAAAATGTGCCAGGCACCCAACGGGCTTCGGTTTAGAAGAGGTGTGACAACACACTAGCCAAAAATACTTCTTAAAATATTAATTAGAATTTATAAAATATCGTAAAATATCATAATATATCATACAATATCATAAAATATCATAATATATCATAAAATATCATAAAATATCATAAAATATCATAATGTATCATAAAATATCATTAAACATTTTTCCATACCCCAATATAGAGATTATTTTGGTGAGAAATAAGACAAATACATTTCTTATGTAAATATCATTCCCAAGAAGTATAAAGTAATTTGTATTTTCGTAATAAAAGTTCGTTAGTTAGCAATATATTTATTTTTTGTTTGTGTAAAAACCAAAAATAATGTGCAAATTGGTTTGTGTATCTAAACAAAACTTTAAACATAAATCATAAATAGTTTTGTGACGTTTTTAAATTGCCTTTACCTTTGTGAAACTTTTGAGCAACAGCTGAACACACACGTCGTATGAGTAATATTTACTTTTAAAGCTAGAAAAGAGCAAGCGTATGCACTGTGAGAAAACTAAGACATCTAAGATATATACTACTATACTATAATAATAGCAATAAGTGACTAAACTTTAAACTTTAGGATTCAAGCACTGTCCACTGGATTAACTCCATGGCGAAGCTCGGGGCCATTATAATTGCCATGAGTAGGCATTTTGGAAGTCATCACACCTGGACACCGGGACTAATCAAGGGGGAATTGGTTATGACTTTTGCCTGTCTGTCTGTCAGTCTGTTTAAACAATCAGCAGATGGCGTGAAGTTAACTGTGTTGACAGCAATGCAATGGTATATATGTACTATATAGAGTGGGATAGATGTAAAGACCTGGAAATAATGGCTCATCAAAGGCGTTGAGTTACGCTTGGTTTAGTTGCAATGTCAACTATTTTATTGCTGACCATTTTGGGCCCCGAAACTAAGAGAGAAAAGTGTTAATGCAGAACGCGTCCAGACAATGGCCACAAATCCCGCCGGGATAATGGAAATTTATGTGCGTTTAAATAGGGAAAATGTCGACACATGCAACCTCACACCCCACAGATAACCGATGTGTTGTAATTTCCCTGCCATATTTGTAGCGTTCCCCATCGAGCACGAATTGAAACCAAGCGTGAAGCTCATAGCCTCAAGCTGTTGGTACGCAGCGAATGCAAATGACCAGTGGGCGGCGGTGATTGGGGGCGGGATGCCTGCATAAATTAGGTCAGCTGTTATTAAATGCATTTTATTCATAAGCTTAAAGCCACCGAACACGCGCTTTCCGTTTTCCGCTTTTCCGTTTTCAGTGGCGAACGGAGAAAATTAAATTTCTGAATGTCCTGTCCTTCGACTGTTTTTGCATATCAAAGCAAAGCTGGGTCATCCGGTGCTTCTTCTGCTGTCTGCTGTCGTCTCTGGCCATAAATATTTGATGAGCTACTGCATTCCTTTGCCTGTTGGCAATTCCGAAGATAAAATACCTGTGACAGTTGGAAAGAAAGGGGGTGAAATTCAGCAATTGTGTAATAGATTAGCATGCAAGTACTTTACCATGTTTTGTCTCTGTGTGCTGTCTTTATTTATAGCCGGTGTCCCAGGGTGGATATGAATTCCAAAAGCTTAACAGTCTTAAATTCCTGCTGTATGACAGGCAAATATTTATATCCGTTACTCTTGAACTTAAAGGGGTATTTTGTATTCGTGAGAAAGTATGTTACGGATAGGAAAAAGTGCTTCCAACCGTACAAAGTCTATATATTTGTGATTAGGATCGCCAGCCGAGTCGATTTAGCTTTGTCCGTTTGTCCGTCTGTCTGTCCGTATAATCTAAAAAGTTGGACCTAAAAAAGCCTAGCTCCCTATATCTTTGCATACTTTGTAAACGTTTAAATACCACTTTATAGTGTTTATTAATACCTTTAACAAGGGTATAAAAACGTAAGAAAAAATTTAAAAATTAAAAAAAATATATTTAAAAAGGAGCAAAAATCA